AGCGGTACCTTATGCAGCCATTGGTTACCACTGATAAGCCGATTGAGTGGTGGTCCACCACTGGATGCATCGAATATCCATATCTGACCAAAATGGCATTGGATATGCTGTCAATACCTGCGATGAGCGATGAGCCTGAACGCTTGTTCAGCCGATTAGGTCATATGGTGACTAAGCACCGCAACCACCTGAAGCCTCAAACGATCCAAGCGACTCAATGCTTGCAATCATGGGCTAAGGCTAAGATTATAGATTTAAAGTAATAGCAATCCGAGCACTTCACCATCATAAATATTTTCTATTTTAAGTCATATGTGGCATAATCAACAGCCTCAGTAACGCCATAAAGGGCCTCAGGTGGATCAATCCGGATAATCCTAGTGGATTATCCAGATCCGCCAAGAGACCCACTTGGGAGTCGGATCGCTGATCCGATCCATCCAATCAGCACACTGCTACACTCGATGAAATACTGGCTGATCACGGAGCGATTGGGACAGCAATCAGTAGAGACTTAGAGGCGAGAGGAGGTTGTTCAACAGCAAGCTCAGGAGTGGGGAAAGCTATTACAGATAATCATTCAGCCGTGAAAAGGAAGTTACAAAATACGAGAACTGACACAAGAAGCAGATAAGGATCCACGCTTCACAATAAATTGAAGATATAACCCTGACATTGACCGAGAAATAATGTAGTTGCCATCACTAATCTTGTATGGCAATCTCTATTTCAGCAAAGTCAAACTTAAAAAACAGCGGCAATTAAAGCATACAACTGAAGAACAACAACATCCAACATAAATTTCCTTGGTAGATTCCATTTCAAACATTACGATCTAATTCCCAAGCATATTCAACGATCATTATTCCTTATTTATGTGAGAAAGACATAAACGATCAATAACTTCTACTTTCGCGAGAAAGACAGGGTGAATTGTTATTTTCATCCGCACTAAGGACAACAATTTGCTTGCAGATCATAACACGGGCAGCGCAAAGTTAGCATAAATTGTGTTCAAGGTGAAAGATACTGAATTCTCCTTAAATTGGAAATACTCGAATTTGGCAAGCTTCTGAATTTTTCCTCTTCTTGACGACTGCGGTGCAAATTTAACGTATTCGGTCTGAGCGTGCTTTAAAAGTTTCTATGAAGATATCCCTTTGGATAATATTCGTTTGGAATAAAAATGAAGAAGATTCAGTAAATGTAAACCGGCTCAAGCAACCCAATAATTCGTCACTTTGAATTTTAACAGTAAAACTATATGCTCTATTCATAGAAATTGAGGTCAAAAGAAAGCAATTGTCCTGATCTCAATGCTCTCTCTCGTCTTAGCATCCGCTGGACTTGTAGGATCCTCGAAAGCCGAGTGCCCAACAAATCGAGCCTTTTCCAGATCCGAATCATACGTCTTCAACAAGATCACTTGTTCTGGTGTCATTTTTGGAAAATAGTACCACTTGTGGCGATCAGAATATTTCATGACATAGTTCTCGCCGTTACGATCCCTATAGCGCAAATGAAGCTTGAAGAAATCGGTAGATGCTATCGTTGTGACATCGCACATGGCTAACGGTCGCTCTTCGACAACGTTGTGAAGAGGTTTCCAGACGTTTATAAAGGCAACTCGACGAGACAATAAATCATCTGCTTCTTCAGGGAGAAGCTGTTTGACCCGGAGGGGAGCGGACTGAGATGTATAATCGCAGTGAACCAGCATTACCGGAGCTCTCTGACTAGTGTTTGTCTCTTGTGTCAACTTTTTTTGATCATTTGCTTTTGTCCTGATCGTGTGATCGAAGACAAGAACACGCTTCGCGCCGATAGTCGTTTTTAGATAGGCAACAACCTCGGGATAAAAATGTGTTTTTACGGCCTCGTTGTCATCCCATCGATTAAAAGTAGTTCGAAATGTGTCAGATAGTTCAAACCCGTGCTTGTCCAATGAGAACTCCTTCACCAAGCTCCATCCATTGTGAATGCGTACTTTCTGGGGATCGTCGCCGGGCAAATGGATGCCACTTGCGGCGTCAGTATCATAGAAGTATAGCTCAGTGAGCTTGGGCCAAGTGTCCTTGGTGTAGTTTAGCGTAGTTTCGACAGAAGCCGAAGAGGATGAAGAGATGGAAGAGGAAGATACAGCACTGTTCATGAAACTGTCAAGGGATTGGAGCGCCGTACCATTTTCGGCCCCATATGTATCTATGTTGAACACTTTGTCAACAACAAGCTGCGTTTTCTTCCAACCAGGCATTGGCTCAATGTACTCTTTCATCCAGCGCTTGAGGTGCGGGTAACCATCCCAGGGGAGACCCTGATCCACATTCGCGTGGATACCAGATGCGACAGCGAAGTCGGCGATGGTCGGTTCGTTACCAACAAGGAATTTGGTTTGAGAAAGTTGGTCTTCTAGCATCCTTGCGCACTTGTGAAACTCTGGCTCGACTTCTTTGATGACGGCCATATCGGTTTCGGCTTTCATCCAATGCTTAACACAGTACTCAATCAAATACTTATACGTTACACCAAACCACGTTGCTGCCTCCCACAACAACCATGAGTTGACCCTTGCGCGCTGCTTAAGGTCCGTAGGGTAAAATGAATGCTTCCCGTACTTGTCGGCAGCGTAAGTCATGATAGCGTTAGACTCGAAAATGTGGAGATCTCCGTCAATTGCCGCGGGGATTGTGGCTGTTGGGGAGATCTTCCTATAATCATCCTTTTTGTGATCTCCATTGAAGTAGTCCATGCGATGAAGATGATATTCGACCCCCATGCATTCTAGCGCCGCAAGGACCTTTTGCGAGTTGACCGTACAAGGGTCACAGTAAATTTCAAGCACCATCGTGATAAATGCCAAACCGAAGTTTGAAACTTTTGATGCTGGAAAACAGGGTTTAGCAAGTTGAAGAGTTCCTCTATATTTCTGCAAGGTACGACCCTTCCATATCCCCGAAAAGTTCCCCGCAATCTTGTAAAATCTAGACTTTCGGAAAAGGACCACCTGAGGTCATTGTACATCTTAAATCCCCGCTTTTGCGTCGATATACTCTACTGGTCATTTGGAAATGGTCGAATGAGAAGGCTGCGAAGCAGCCCAAGGCCAGAACTGAGCTGAAGAGGGGATCTGCTGACCCGACTGGTGCCGCCACACTTGGCAATACGGGTTTAGCCTTGATTGAAGGTTAAATTTGCTTTTAAGCTGTCCAAGATATAATATTATACTAAAGTATTAGAACGTGGACAAGGAATTGTACATGCGTATTTGTAAACGGAGAAAGACCGTTCCTCGTAGGGAAACAGAACTTGGCAAAGTTTCGTAAGAGATAAGTTCGCGGATCACCAACTTAAATGTGAGTGTTGACGAATGCATGAGTGAAATCCAAAAATGAAGTCGACGTAGTGCTACGCCTTCATTGTGTTTATAGCTGGTGCCACCGAAAGTGCTCAAACCGAATGGAGAGAGGACCCTAGTAGATTATGGCACGACGTGATGTAAACTTCGCCGGCAATCGCAACTGGCGCAAGAAAGTTTGAATGTAGTAAACATCACACATCTGGCTTCACAATATACATAGCAACCATGAGTTCAAGTAAGATGCCCAAATCCGAACTTTCAATATCGATACTAATGTCTGCGCTAGGCCAACGCGAGCTTCCAGAACCGCCAGCGGATGCCATATCATGTCTGGATTTCTCCCCGCATACTCCGAACAGGCTACTTGTCTCGTCCTGGGACAAGGGTGCATATCTCTATGATGTGGCTGCTGGCAGTAGAGTATCATCGGTCTCATTCGACGCGGCACTATTGGGCATATGCTTCGGAGAAAATGACGAAGAGGCATTCGCAGGCGGGCTGGACTGTGACGTGCACAGGTGGGATGGCTTTTACAGCGTGAGAGCAGTTAGCAGACTAACAAGGCGACATAGAATCGATTTCGCAAATGGCTCAAAAACTACTCTTTCCTCTCACTCAAAGCCAGTCAGATCAGTAGTTTATGACCGTGAACATAAGCTACTCATATCTGCTTCATGGGATGCCACACTCCATATCCATAACCTCTCTTCCTCACGTACAGAACAAAGCTATGCTACCGTCACAATCCCATCAAAGCCATTTGCAATGTCTTTGTCTTCCTCCAAGTTAGTTGTGGCGATGTCAAACAGGACATTCTTCATTTATGAGCTCAGCGTTCTGGCCGACCTACCCTTAGGACCTTCGGATATACAGCCATGGCAGGCGCGAGAGAGCAGCATGAAATTCATGACTCGTGCCGTGGCATGCATGCCAGATGACAGCGGTTACGCCTCCTCTTCCATAGAAGGCCGTGTAGCGGTCGAATGGTTTGATCCAAGTGAGGAGTCCCAGAAGCGCAAATACGCTTTCAAATGCCATCGTGTCGCCGAACCGGACGGTACGGACACCGTTTACCCAGTCAATGCATTAGCGTTCCATCCTGAGCGTAATGTATTCGCCTCGGGTGGCGGAGATGGGCTTGTCAGTCTGTGGGATGCAATAGCGAAACGCAGGATAAAGCAGTACCAAAAATTTGGCAGCTCCGTGGCAGCGTTGGCATTTTCGAATGATGGCAGATATCTTGCGATCGCGACAAGTCCAGGCTTTGAGGACGGAAAGGAGCCCGAAGAAATGGAGGGGTTAGTCAAGGTCATTGTGCGGGAGCTAGCTCCGGATGAAGCAAAGATGAAAGTGAAGAAATAATTAAACATGCGGATGTATAAGTGTTTGCCGTAGATTTGGCGAACATATTTCTAAAAGGAAGGATCTGGAGTACATAAATACCCGAAATGGTTCTAGGAGTTAACTTATGCGCTGAACACCATGATGCGTACCAGCGTACTCCTTCATTACCTCAAGTCTATTCTCGTTGAACCATTTGTGCCTTGAATTTTTGCTATGTTGCATAGTCGCATCGTTCCTAATCTGCTCAGCGCGGCCACCAACTTGCCGTCCAAGGCTCGTCCTAGGCTAAAATTGCTCTATTTACTTCCAGCGCAGCAAACCATCAACATACACTTCAGGCGAAGCTTTGTTATTTCATGTGGTTCGTACCTAAGCTTTCAATTGAGTGCCACCCGTTTTGATAAGCTGCCACAGCAGGCACATAAAACATCGAGCTTTATGAACCACTAACTCGCAAGGGGAGAATGCCCATATGGTGAAACGAGGCGCATCATATCGTACCTTCATGACTAAGTCATCTAGTTCACAGCAGTTTAGATTCTTGGCGTGGTATCAGGAAATCGTCGAGTGATGATGAGCGAAATAGAGCAGCCCAAGGGCTCATACCCTCGACAAACGCAAGCAGCCGACAAGATGCCAAAGTCAGAGTATTCGTTTGTAGCGACAAAAATCAAGTCATGTCGACGCAGTTTATGAGCCTTATATGCTGTAAGTGCGACTTATTCATCGCCACTGGTCAGTTCCTCGTCAACGGACATTGTCGCTGATTCGCGCTCCTCTGCTTGAACTGCGTTCTTCAAGACTTGTTCAAGTCCATCTCTCTGATTTGAGGCTCGTGCTCTTCGCACAAGGTCTCGCGCCCTTTTAATCGCTTCGGATTCTGCAAGGCGTATAGTACCGGAGTTTCGCACCACATGAATAACGCATGGAGTACCAAATGCCTTAGGAAGATGCGTGACGAATGTCAAAGCGGCCCAGACCAGTCTAACATGCTCTCGTGAAACCCTGATGATTGCTGATGAAGTAGCAGCGGAGAAGTAGACAACTTGACAATCCAACATTAGCCCTGGTCTTGTTCAGTCGACTTAGCTCGGCACAAACCTTTGAGGCTACCAGAGACTTTTCCTACTCCATAATCTCCAAACATTTCGCTCACGGAATTGCGGATTAGCATGACCAGGGACCTCTCGTCAAATTTTGGCGGCGATGGTGCATGGATACGTAAGAAATTGTTGACCTCTTCATCTTGAGCATGTACAAGCACAGATCCATTGGAAGGATACAAAATATTGACGAGCAAATAACGATGCTTCAACCGAACCATGGTGATGCATAGAGCCGATGTTGTAATGAATTACATGATATACTGTTCTTCACACGAGTTTGTACTCAATTGAATCATGAGTGAATGATGGGGCTGTTTTTACCTCGCAGTAAGCGGACCCCTATCAGCTACCAGCTTTGAGCACTCCGCTGAGGCGACAAAGTTATGAAAATCACCCTCACTACGCTGTTCATTCTCTTCATTCTTTTCTAAGAAAGAATAGATCTTGTTCCCAAAGGCTCAAGCAATTTAATTGCCTGTCTTAATTGTTTTCATTCAACTTGCGCCTTTGTTAGATTAACTTCCTACTTACTGTGAGACGAGTCTCTTGGACGAAGCATTTGGAACAAGGCACAGGAAAGATCCTTTGCCAAGAGACTGCACCATCCCTTAGGATTGATGCTGGTACTCCAGTGTCAGAGATCTTCTTGCTGAATAGTGCTTGTCAAGTTTCTGTGAGGATTGTCCATTCTTACATGGGTCTAAAGATCAATTTCGCGCCTCCTTGGCGCGGCCGACTTTTCTGCGAGACTATACATATATCTGCAACACCATATGTTAGGAAGCACTCGGACATCGTCAAATGCCCTTAGAATTGTAAAACTTATACTTCCAATGAAGCGAGTTATGAGCTGCGGGATGCGATCAAACATTTGCGCAGGTATGCAGCTGAACGTGCTCCTGTTCTCTGGTTGCAAACAACTTTCAGGTTCTCGGCTAGATGATCATTTTAGCGTGGGGTTCATGCAACCAGCTCCGCCCCGTTATCTTGACTATGTTAAGTGGAGAGAAATCTTGGTTACGGTACTTTGTGATCCATATGGATTGTATTCATCCAAAGCTGAATGGAGTCACTTCTGTTACTCAACCGACCTATATCCAACCCGAAATAGGATGTTTGAGAACAGCGAATTTCGTGCTTGAAGAGCATTTCGATCCTCTTTTAACTCCAATCGTTTGCGTCAGGTCAAGCTCAAGTCTTCACATTTCCAGAGAGCCACGGTAAGGAGCCCTAGTGCGCAATCAAGGAAGTAGTTGGACAAGCATTGCTTCAATCGACTGTGCCTGTCACATCAAGCGGGAGAACGTAAATCATGTGATGAGGAATAGCATGCACTGCCGCTTAGAAAAAGCAAAGAATTTACCGCTCAAGCCTCTAACTTGAGTTTCCAGCACGGTCCATTCACATGGTCTCCATTGGTCGTATTCTGTCTCATCTCGTTCTGTTCACCCTACTGGACGGCATTGAAATGGAAGAAGTACGATTAAGTATCAATATTGAAAGATTAAAAAGTCGACACACACGAAGAGTAAATGACTCTAATGCTGTCTCTTCGTTCATCGCGAAGGAGTGCGCCTCACGATCATCTGACTTCTTATCTTTTGGCTTGATTATTGTGGCTTAAGGTCGCCCCTTAGTGCAGCTCCTTGTGACTCTAGAGGGGAAGAGGGGGTGGTTTCTGTTACCCTGCCTCCGTCAGAAACACGTCCCTGTTATGCGCTCTTATCTAAACTTTCTTTTTATTTGTCCGACAGTTATGGAACTTCCATTTCAAGTACATCTATGCTGACTTCACCAGCCTTGGGAGCATTGGCTCTTCCCAGTCCAAATCTCACGGATTCAACTTTTCTGTTGTTTCTTGCATAACACCAACTGAGCCTTGGGCAGAATGCTGAAATCCCCATCAGCGCGACAAATTCTTGTTGAATCGATCATTTTTGGCTCTATCGGGACTGTACTCTTTCTGGGCCGACTATGGTCCCGGGCTTTGCTTCGACGGTCGTGGAAAAAACTCATGATTGATGACTATGTTATGGTTGCGACTTTTGTAAGAATTATATCTGTGACATAATACAGCTGTCAATTCTTTGAAATGCAGTGCGGCTAACTCAATCAGTGCTGCTATGTGACACTGCTTACACTGATCAATGTATCGGAGCATTACGCTACGAACGAATATCTACCGTTTGAAGCAGATGCGATCCTCGCCAATCCTGAGGAAATTCGACAGCGGATCTATGGAAGCAAGATCGTAGTCGGCTCGAATCAAGCGTATCTGCTTACATTGTGGGGAGTCAAAACATGTCTTCTGATGCTATACCACGGTCTCACATTTGGCACAAGAGGCAACTTATATGTCAAAATAGTTATGGTCTACGCTGCTCTTGGATTCGTCTTCACCGAGGCATCGCTGTTTATATTCTGCCATCCATTTTCTCAGTACTGGGCATTGCCGGTTTCAAATCAACAGTGTGCTAACTATGAGCACTATTGTATAGTCCAAATGGTCTTCAATGTGTCAAGCGACTTGCTCATGCTAGCGATTCCAATCCCTCTGATTATTCGAGCTCAAGTAAGCGTTCCAAAACGTGCACTTCTGGTTGGTACTTTCGGGCTAGGCTTGTTCACAGTAACGGCATCTATTTTGGACAAATACTTCAATTTTACGATGCTTAATTCAACTGTTTACAGTAAGGTTTCTACGCCTTGGATACAATGCAGATTGCTAATATTAAAAGTGATTTGGCACATCCGTGAAGTCAGTACGAGCGTATTTGTCGCCAATATAATGTGCTGGTGGCCATTGCTAAGAAAATTCTTTGGACTCAAACGATTTCTCTCGAAAGATACAATTGAAGCTGCAAGTGGAAAGACCTCGAATTCTTCGGTCATGATGGTGCAAAATGGCATCCCTACGAGGGATGACGAATACCTGAAGAGCCATACAAGGATAGCTGAGAAGTCAGTTGATCACGACATTTATGACCTTGATGATATTGAATTGGGAGATGTGCGTATATTTCGAACACCCAAATCTGGAGGCCTAAGATGATATGGCAACTTTTCACGATTGAATGCAAGATATGGAAGTGCATGCCGCGTATTGTAATTAAATACAGTGAGGATTTTGCCGTTGCTGTAGATACGATGCTTCAAAAACTATCAAGTCAAATATACGGTCAGCGAAAACCGACTTGCTTTGAAAAATAATTTGGGGCTTGACACAGCAAGCAAATTGTTTTTTGGAGCATTAACGCGTGTCGTTGGCTTCGAAACTCCTTCCTGAATATAACAAGCTGATCAAAATAATACGCCGAGAAATAAGGCCACGAAATGATGTACGTGTAGGAAATAAAATGCAAACGCCACATATTTTTCTCATCCAATCTGTCTGAAGGGTATCTGAATTGCATATACGTTCAACGCTCTGTCACGGCGTCCTATTCCTTGTCCTATTCTTCAGCCTTGCTAGACCTAATTTTAAACTAGAGAACGCGGACGATGAACTGTGTGTGTAAATTCCCGCTTCAAAATGTAGAAATCATTAGGGGATTGCTGGTCTTAAAACTCACAAGATATTCTCTTTGGCGTATGTGCCCGCTGCGACCGATGATTTGGAGGACTTTTGTGGCCATGAAGAACTTGCGACACCTCGAGCGGGGAAGGATCTACCTATAGTCGCAAGGCCCAGGCGTGACCGCCATCGCATATTCAGCTCTCCGAGGCCATCTTAACCGACTGTCAAAGCCCCAAATTGCTCCAATTATTCTCACGACCGCGACTAGATTTTCTCTTGCTTCCGCTGCACTACAAAGAAGATCAGGCTGGAAGCATGTTCCTTTGAGCGAGTGCCCAGACGCTGCGTAAAGCAACAGCGACATTGGAGAACGAGCAGACAATACGATCAATGCATGCTGAGCTTGAAGCACATTCCCTCGAAAACAACCCTCAAAGGTGGTAATGGACGAGATTTCTCGTACCATTCTCTTTCGGGCGAAGCAAAAGCGTCTCAAAAGTGCTTTTGGCAAATAAGAATCATACACGCCGTCAAAGCCTGGGTACGAAGTAGGGCAAGCCTTGTCCTTCGTTGAAAAGAACATCTTTGAACATGCTTGGCCGACGAAAGATAGCGAATACGCTATGGGCAAGAATACCAAAGACAAAAAGACTCACGAACGCCGTAGCTAACGAAAGACTCTTTAAGTCCAGGCGAGATTCCATACCTGAGAGCATGTACGCCTGTTTGAGCCCAACTTCCCGCTTGCTTCAGAGACGGCAGACTCAATTGAAGATTCTAAATAACATAAAGCTTCCTCAGACAACGGCGAGGGCTTTGATATTCGTCCATGTGTTCCGTAGGTCGTGATGCCGATTCTAGTCGTCTCCCTAAATTTGACGAACCGATAAACTATGCGCCTTTTGTTCTGCAGAAGTCTGGCGCTTAGTTGCCAAATGGACGTCCCATGCGGCCAATGTGTCGTGATGGCTTCTGTTGACAACTAAAGGCACAGATATGCTCTGTGGGTCGTACGTAAGAGCACTTTAAAGACTATACATAGAGAGATATACTTAGGCACGGGCTACGCCGCCAACGTACTGCATCTTTGTAACAAAGGCGCCATATCGGAACGGCGTGTAGGAGTCTTCACATCCAGCAAGGGCAATTGCGTACTTTGCGAACAAATTCTCGCATCAGCTTGACATCGTCGGCCTTGTCCAAGACGTTGCTGCTGCCAAGGACCCAAAAGGCAAGAAGATGGCCTCCGAATGCTGCAAGCACTCCCATGTGCAGGTAGCAAGAAGGAGTATCATAATTCCAATTAAGAGTATGTCTCGAAATGATAGACATCTACGTATTGAAAAAGGCTGGGGCGAATTGCTGCAAGAACAATGCTTTTCGTGCCCTTGCAGGTACACTAAGGAAGAACAGGCAGATGATGCTTCATCACCTGCGCAAGCCAAAGGACCAAGAGCCCGGCTCAATCGCGAAGCGCGGCAGCCGTGCGATGCAACTCTTCGATCGGGATGATGGTGCAGGAGCAAATGGCCAATTGCGTGGGGCGGTCATCCAGGCCTCATCATTCATGATACCACACAACCTTATCTCGTTTCTAGGCTCATGTCGACTCTAACAAAATGCAGCCAGAGTACGGCTCGCTGTGCGGCTATGCCGTATTGTGCTTCACGGGATAGCAGTGCGATTATTGGAGAACGGCGACATCGTAGTTTTTGTTGCCACTTTACTTTTTATTGTTGATAAAATGTGATGAGCAGTCCTTGAAGGCTAATCATCTCGCCGACGTTGGGTATCATCAATTAAACAGCAATCCCCTAGAAGCCTCCCATTCGCGCCAATAGCCAGGCTGCCCATCCCAAAACACAGATCTAAGCTCGATCAATAGCTTCTATAACAAGAAATAAAAGGGAAAAAAATTTTTTTACGCGGCCCGCTGCGGTATTTCAAGGCCTTGGTGACACAAATCGCCCCCGTGTGGACGATGGGCTTTGTATCGGTGCAGTCCACATGGCCCTCGTGGCTCTTCTAGCACTTTTGCTAAGACGTAAAGTGAATTTGCCTTTGCGATCATGCACCTCGAGCACTTTTGCTGTGCATGGTAAGGCCGTATTACGTTCGCGGTTGCTTAAGACCACCGTGATGTACATGCCTCTTCTGATGATTCCCTCGTTCAGCTCAATATCGCTACCTGGTGAACCCGGCGTGTCGGGATCGTCGTCCTCCCAGAGGGATTCACCGTCGGCCACCGTAGATGCGTCCTCCTGGTCGCCCTCTTCAGAATCTGTTGTCAAATCGTCACTGCGCATCGAAGACACTGCTGGCGATTCCGCCACTTCAGAGCGAGAGCTCACATGTGATCGTGTGTCCGATGGCAATTGCGCCGCGGCGGTAACATTATGCTCCGAAACGGACGCAGGCGATCGGGGTGAATGCGGCGACGCGTATTCGGCTAGAAAATCGGCCAAAAAACCGGAGAACTTTTCTGTCACATATGTCAAGTCGTTGCCAGCAGCGTCAGATTCGGACGAGGCTTTGGACGTGCTGCTGGAGGCATTAGATGGTGAAGATGTTCGTCTGGGCGATTGTCAGGAACGGAGAGTCTAGTATGCGCGGGGACTGCGCAAAGTGGTGCCATACCGCCAGTCATCGTTTTCTTCGTCCAACAGGATCATTCGCTTCGAATGGCGAGTGCGCACAGGACTGTTGGACCGCTTTCTGGCGAACGGATCCATCGCTGCTCGTCGTCGCGTTGAGAAGTATCGTGCGATTCGGTCGGATGATGCTCCGAACAGACGTCAAAAGGCTCCTTTTCATGGCTGGCTACGCATATACAAGGTGCCTTGCCCGCCCTCTAGCAGGGACAAAGGGGCTTTATCATTTGATGTCTGGAAAGCGGCACGAGCAGCTGGAGACCGTACAGTCGATATGGTGTGTTAGCAACCGCGATGCAGGATCACGTATTTGTCAGGCAATCATGTGTCAAGCTGTCAAAAAGGCGCGTACTGCGCTTGCAGCGATGCGTGGTGAACCTTTAGTATCGAAAATGGGCTTCGGCAAGCGGACAACTCCCGTCCCGGCTTTTTTTCTGCGAGCCCAGTCCCCTTGGGCTGGGTCGCAGATCCATGCGCTTGTTGCGCAGGACTTCGCTGGGTATATCCTTGGCCCGGCGTGGTTTGACTGCGCTCCGGAAGGCTTGTGCGCCCTTTGGACGAACATGGGGCCATTAGGCAGCTTTCTCGCATGTTCCTTGAGCCCCAATATGCTTGCTCGACGTGTGTCTCGAGCATCGAAATGTCGTATAGCCGTGCCTCACCGACCACCACCAGGACGTAGGCAACCCACTCGTCTTTCATCTGTACAAGAGCCGAGAGACACCAGTCGACTTTCGCTCCCATCGTGGTTTGCATCACGCGTGGGTTAGCAACGACGTCGTGCAGGTCCGTCGCCATGACTCCTGTCGAGCACGATCCTGCATGCTCCCTGACACGCTCGCGCGATGAGCCCCCTGGGTTTGCTGCATCGGAGCATTTTGCCCAACCCCTATAATGCTCGTGTGAAGCGGTGTTCAATGCTCGAGAATTGCTTGCAGACTTCTCCGTACCTCCGTACGCTACTGCACTTATCAGTTGCGTGTCTCATATCGTCAGTCGATCGAAGATCTTAGGTTGGCTTGCCATCACAGAAACTTCCTTGTTTCCTCGGCATCCACCTCGAGCTTGTTCAATACAATATTCCGAGCGATCAATACGTCCCTCTCCCCCTCTTCCACCAAGCTGAATTGGTCTCACGATTGAGGTTCCGATGTGGCGACAATTCACGAACTCGATGTATATCTCACTTCACACTCTCGCAAACAGAAGTGATGATATATTGTTCATTGTCCCTGCCATGGCACAAGCGTGTGTGGCCATCTGCGAGGCCACTGATGTCTGTAGAGGCTGTCATGCAGCTCTTCCTCCCACTTCCGCGTGTCAGCAACCTTGATCCATTTCTCTCCACCCCAGTCTTCTGCTTACACCTGCGTCGATTTCGCCATGACCCTCGGATCTGTTGCCCAGAACGATCGACTCGCGGATGGCAGATGAGTGCCGCAGCCGCAGCCATCACTGTTCGTTCCCGCACGAGAAGATTCCGTGCGTTGATAGTGAATTTCGTAGACGTGGGCCTGCTCGAAATAGTATTGGTCAGGCTTTGGATGACCCAATACAAGGTTTTCCAAGTGCCACGCCCTCCATCGTAAATACTCTACGTCGCTTACGCGTGGTTGCGGATCCTCGTATGTCGTACGCCCCTGTCAGAACGGTCTTTGTCATGGGTTGGAAACGGTAACAGCACCACTCGCCAAAGCCCGCCTTTACCGCGTCTTGCAGCCGACCCCATTCGCAACAACCATTACATTCTGAGTAGTTCTTGTAATCTGCATGTCTCACTATTTGCGTATACGTATGTGTCAACCAAAATATGCCCTTGGGTGCATAGAGCCAAACCCTGCGACAAGTATGCATACGTTATAGAGTACCCCTTATGAATCCATGGGCTCTTCGTCCAGAACACCACGCTTTTTGAAACAGAAAGTAGGAGCATGCCATGAATTCTTAGAATGTTTATCGGCTTTCTTCTTAGCAAAAGACTTTACCAATGGTCTGGATCGACAAGGCACATGGGACCCCCATTCTGTCTCTCGGTTAGCAGTGAGTCACATTTCGGAGAATTTCAGCACGTTGTCAATGTGGTATGTGGATTCGGCGCGGATCTAGTATCTTTCGCGACCCTGCTTTCCAAAGCCATCATAGAACATCCGGTACGTTTATCAGTTAGCGAACGCGATCGACATGAACGTTGAATACTTGGGCCAGGCCATACCCACCTTCTTGACAAGGAGTCGGAAACTGAACGTCTGACCGCGCCTTGCTCTACCGAACAGCGAGTGTCTTGCCACACCAGCGGCACCGTCACAGCCGATTATGGACCGTGATTGCGAAACGCCATGTGTGGTTGGCGGCAATTTCGCCATCAATCCAAGCCTTACTTCTGCTTTGACGTGCTCTTGTAACGTTGTATCCAACCTTGATGGCTTCAGGGCCCCTGCCGCGTTACTAGCAATGGCTGCCACAGTGATGGGCAGAATCTTTTGTGCGGTGTGCAGGCACCTTCCATCCGAATCCATCGATAATTAATCTATATGCTTTCCTCAGTTTGCAGATCTGTTATCCATCTCGGGTTAATCTTTCTTTTCTTCTAACCCAGATTGAATCTAAACTTACACGTCACCGCCTGCTATGTGCGAGCAGCAGATGCTAAGGAGAGGTTCTATACCCGTCTTGCCTATATCATCCAGGGAACCGGCACGTCGGATGCTCCATTAGGCTGGAGAACTCTGCACTAGGACGCACAGAGTCGCATGTCTCAGTGGGGCTATATCATAGACACCAGCCCTAGGGAATCTTGAGCTAAAATGGAGGCTAAGAAAATCTTTGTCGGCTCAGCGTCTCCGAGTATAAAGTACAGAACTTGAGTTACTCTTTCGCCAAAATCGTTCTGGGAATTTGTCAAGCGTATTTTGCTAAACGACCAATTCCGCGTTGAGGATCTGTTTGATGGGGCTGAATAACGAAAACGGTCTTCACAAGTGTTGGAATTGACACCCACGCGATGCTCTAGCAAATCAATCATCCATCGATACTTAAAATAATCGAAAAATCTTGATACGTCGATCATAGCCATCGTTCTCCACAAGCCTTAATAATACTTTTGCCAACTGAGCAGCTAAGCGCAATGTGGAATCTCATAGCCAGTCGTTCAGAAACACGTGTAGGCAGTGAAAACGAACGGAGGCATTCGAGGGATAAAGGTTAACGACGCTTCAAATCCTTCATCACCAAAATTATTTCAGAGTGAAACTTTCCCCGTTCGATCAGCTATCATGCCAGTGCTACTAGACTGGACTTCATGTTTTGAACCACGGCTTTCAGCTGCGATCAGCATTTGGTTGCGAAGACACTGTGGAAATGCATAAATTCAAGTATAAACGCAAGCAACCTTGACGCAAAATGGTAAGTGTTCTCCAGTTCCCTTAATGAAGATGCTTGATGTTGTGGTATCACTTCTCCGCACTGAAGAGTTCCCCAGAAATCAAACACCAATGCTATGCTGTGCAGCTATCACATATGTAGTCTCAGGTTTGTCCGAAAGTGTGGACAATTAATTTCCATCAGCTTGTTTTCCTGCGCCGTCCAATTCGTTCTTGGCGAGATACGTCGCCTGTGAAGTCTCAGCCCTTTTACACAAATAACGCAAGACTACTTCCATTATAGATCATTTAGCATGAGATCTATGTATTTTCGCTCATGATATTCTGCACTCTCGACTTTCAGCTCAGTTTCTGGTTGATATTTGGCCTTGATCTTATCATATTTAATGGCTTGCTGATATCTCCCAGCTTTGGCATGAAGGGTTGGTTTTCTTTTTCATCGTGACCTCTATTGTACAAAAGAAGGTGGCCGTTTCGCTTCTCTCGCTTTGGACATCGCTTTGAGGTACGAGTCAATAGTAGATTGTGTGCCAAAACTAGAGCTACTAGGAATGCTCGATCCGCTAGTTTCGGCCAAGGTGCGTATGGGCACGGATGAGATATTCCTTTGTCCATCCGCAACCTCTGAGGTCCGTATGGGTGTAGTGGATAACTTCTCTGCCAAGGTTTTGAAGTTTCTTTCCCATCGTTGGAATTTCGTATCTGAACTTGATTGTTCTCGCGGTTCAATGGAGGCTGAAGAGTCAAGAATTTTGCCACTCCTTATTGATCGATTCTTGCTCGTCGCAGCTGTCGTTTGAGAGTCAGAATCTCCAGAAGAAAGCGCATGTTCATCCTGAAAAGAACGTTGCACATGACCTTTGCTGACGTCAACTATCTCTGGTTCAAAAGAAGGTATGATTTCTATTGTATCGCCTTGATTTAAGACTTCGCGTGACTCCTTTGGCAAAACATTGCGCAAAGGTAACAGTACCGACTCCGCTTTGCCTGCGTCCTGCGCGTCACTTTCAATCTGGTTTGGAGTGGTGGAAGGAACGGTCTTGGTACGCTTCTTCGGAGGTTTTTTCCTAGCATCAGTTGATCGTATCTCCTCTCTTACTAGTGCTCTTTGGTCTCTCTCGAATCTTGGAACTTCCGAACTATCTCTCGAGTGAGACGAAACTGGGGGGAAATCCTCCGGCCGGGGATTCTCGAAGCGAAATGTTTCATACCGTTCCAGTTCCCTGGGGGTGACATATGAAAGAACATCGGAAAGATCGACGTGTAATAAGCTTGGATCGCAGGGATCGTATGCCAGCGAGTCTGACGAGCTGCTTTGAGCCAACGTCGGCGATGTTCTGCACCTTGACAGTCGTCTCCTTGTTACGAACTCGGAACCATTTTGCCGCGTTTCTGGACAATCGTTAAAGGATTTAGGGCCAAGAGAGACTTCTGAACTCTTTCTTTTAATAGAGCTCCTACCATCCAAGTCCGGTTGTGGCCGCAAGATGTATACGGGCAGGTCGTCTTTAAAAATGCGGTCCACGATGTTGTATCGCGTTCCACGTGGCGGATCATCAGCCAGCTGGTAATCGAGCGATGGAAAATCGCCTCTATGACGCGGAATATACGTATAGAAATCTTCTACACTGTCTTCTACGTTTTTGGATGGGACAGATATTTTGTTATCTCGTTGAGGATCACGGAGCTGGACCAGGCGATCCATTATCCGCGAGCAAGAATCATTGATGACTTGAGATTGGATATGTGGGGTCTTAGCTCAAGTATGTTATTTATATGCCTCAGGCAGAATTCGCGGATATGCAAAATTAGAATAAGCTAACGTGCTAACTCCAGTTACCTCTAAGTTAAAATAAAAATGTACGATTATTAATAGCCCTAAAGACTTTTTTAAGGCTTGAAAAATAACCATTCTCGAGAATTTGCGTATAAACGAAGACGAAACCACAAGATTAATTTAACATAAATTAGGAAAAAAGCACAGCAAAACTTCGATTACAAAATTATAAAGCTAGACTATATTAAGACTTTGGGGAACGAAGTGCGAGCTGACGAATGTCACGTGATATTCACGTGCGCAGGTTAGGCGCTTGTCTGTCATCACTGGAAGAACAAAGCAGAAAAGAAAGCAGAAGAAACTTGAGATCTTGTATTTCGAATTCAATTATCGTCTCAAGATTTGATTGACTTTTTTTTCGGTTTACATGCGTTTATCGCAAGCTCATAGATCCCTTTGAAGTTCGCCCTTCCCATCGCGAATTGTACTAGTCTGAGATCACGTCGACAGACTCGCTTGATACTTCTCATGGTGGTAGTCTGACTAGACACTTCCATGAGCGATCAAAATTCGCTTCGCTGCTTCAATTCGTAGCCGGTGGGTGTGATGCACGAAGAAGGCGGGTCCCGACATGTGCTCTCGCTACAATAGCAATGTGACGCAGCTGGGATCCAAATGTACAATCAAGTGCATGTTTCCGTGTGCAAACCTTCCACCTTGGTCCTGGATGCTTCTCCAGATCCCGGATTCTAGCAAGTCTTGCTTGCTCTGTGGCGTCATCTCATTTGCATGTTCATAAGTCCGGGAGATGAAAGACAAACTTCCGCGTTGCGCGATCGGGAGCGCGATGTTCCAGACTTGAGCCGTACAGTTCAATGACAAAAGGCTTGGATCCTGCTGTTTGGTTCTCGGCAGCAACTGCACTATCTGTGCTCTCCCTCTCCAGTGAAAGCGGAATTTCGAGGCGGAAAACAGTGTGCTCTTTTGGAATGGCTAGCATGTTCATTAGAATCATCATAGTCAACGTCGGAGCAAGAACTGGACTCACTTTTTAGCTTGTTGTTGGGTGTGATGATTTCAAACGTGCTCTTCGTGTCTCTCACAACGATGCCCCTGACCCCTACCCGACCAACACATCTGCTGCTCACGACTTGCACGAACGCACCATGGAAGTCCGCACTCGCAAGGAGAGGTCCCGCATTCTTCGGGTCAATGTAGTGTGCTTGACTCGAGTCGGGTCTGTTAAGGCCCAGAATCTCATGCATGTAGCCACACCACAGCTTGTGCATTGGTGCATAGATGTCATACTTCTGCTGCGACTTTGGAATCGCATAGATCTGGAGAGCGCGTTTGCGCTTCGCAGATAAAGGTTTTGGCTTCCCGGAAAGCTTCTGCTTATGCGCTTTTTTTTCTTCGCGGACTCTTCGACGAAGGTCTCGAGCCGAAGGCTCGGACGGGTCCTTTGGCGTTGGCTTGAGATACAACGGGCGCTGAACGACCTTATCACGATAGTACGTTGCGGCAAAATCAGCGGTATGAGCTTGGCTGAGCAGAGTGAGTGCAACCCCGCCGTTTTTTGAAGCCGCCATTATTTTGTCTTGGTTTCAGCGCGTAACGCCTGTGAACAAAATTTCACGAGCAAACATGAGATCCAGTATACCGGGTGGCATCCCAAGAGCCGCGTTTGGCTTAGCGTGCTGTGAACAACGAGTAATCATGACAAGATCATCGCGCTCGTGGTACTTTTGAATTCCAAGTGTAAGAAAGGCTCGCACTCGCATCACCAGGACAACAAGCCTACCATTGCACTCCTCCATGAAATTCCACGCCTGAATGTTGCCTCCTGCCTCACTTCAGCAGTATTCTCGAACAAGACCTGGGCCTAGTCTTTATAATGCGCGCTCTATGTGAGCACCAGCACCCGTCGTTGCCCCAAAACATACCAGGATCAGTAAACCAACTTTACTCAGAACGTACCTTGATCAGAGCACATTTCGGCTGACGTGATATTGATCACTCATATCCCACAGGCACGGCTACATTTTCGCTCAATTGTTTGTCCAAAATGTGAAACGCTATTGAATCCGTAGACCTTTTTGAGTCTACGATACAGCTCCGAGTCTCGTCTACGTAGACCCTGCGTTACGTCCGTCACATGGCCATAGTCTCCCTCATTTCAGCTGTACAAAAGCGTCCTCGTAGCCATTCGATTGCTCAACGGCATGATTTGATTGCTGCAATTAGGACTCTTCTCGTATTTAAAAGTTCTGTCCACGCACGGTGAAATCTGGTCACGTTTTAACAGCTAGATCACGAGTTATTCGTGAAGAGATCATAACACCCTCCTCCCAGCCCATATTTTTTTTTGGACCCAATCGAGTCGACGAAAGAATCAGTTTCATCTGCAATATGGTTCTAAAATCGCCTTTTCCCAATCTCGATGCTCCCAGCATCGATATATGGAACTTCGTCTTCAAAAATCCGCTTCTCAGCCCCCAAAATCGAGTCCCGGATGACAGAGGTTTGGGAGACGTGCGCTCTTCAACAAAAGCATTGATCTGACCAGCACTGGCAGTCGTCCTGCTCGACCCGATAGGCAAGCGGGAACTCACGTTCGGGCAAGTTCGAGACCTAAGCCGAACTTTCGCCTACAACTTACAGACGAAGCTGTACTTGCGTAAAGGCGAATGTCTCGGCGTCTTCTCCCCCAACTGCCTAGAATACGTTGTCTCCGTCCTTGGCGGGCCCGCGATGGGCGCATACATCTCACCTGCCAGTGTGGCTTTCAGCGTCGACGAATTGGTCTATCAGCTGAAGAACAGCGGCGCCAAATGCCTCGTGACCCACGCAAAAGTGCTGGACACTGCCCTCAAAGCTGCCAAGGCATGCAACCTGCCTACGAAAAACCTGATTGTGATTCAAGACCCGTCGACTTCTTCTCCCCGGCAGCATGGCTGTACGGAATTCGCATCTTTGCTGACCACGACGGCCGGCGCCCAACTCGTTCAGCCGAAGTTCAACGTGAAGGCGGATTTGCTGGTGCTTCCCTACTCCAGCGGCACGACGGGGCGGCCCAAAGGCGTGAGGCTCAGTCACCACAACGTGGTGTCGAATCTCGTCTCGCTGGTCGGCTCGCAAAACAAGGGAGAGGTCGACGTTCCTCCGAGCGACGAGCGGATGGTCGCCGTCCTTCCGTTTTCGCACATATACGGGCTGTCGGCGCTCGTCTACGCGGCCGTCCTGACCGGGAAGATGATCGTCGTCCTTGCCCAGTTCGACCTCGTCGCCTACCTCGAGCTCGTGCAAAGGTACAGGTGCAACATCGGCTACGTGGTGCCGCCCATCCTGACCGCTTTCGCCAAGCATCCCATCATCGACAAGTACGACGTTTCCAGCCTGCGCGAAGTCGGTCTCATGTGCGCCGCCGCTCCGTTGTCCGCTCAGCTGATCGACGCCGTCTACAAAAGGCTGCGCATCCCCGTCTTCCAGGCCTTCGGCATGACCGAAGCTTCCCCACTCACTCACTTTCTGCCCCCGGAGAAGTGGCAGGAGGGCAAGGGCGGCGTCGGTCACGTCGCTCCTAATGTCGAGTCTCGGATCGTCGATGAGCACGGCAATGACGTTGCTCCGGGCGAGGTGGGCGAGATCTGGGTGCGGGGTCCAAACATCTTCCTTGGATATCACAACAACCCGGAAGCGACTGCGGACTGCATGACCTCCGATGGCTTCTACAAAACTGGTGATATTGGAAGGGTGGAGCCCTCGACGGGTATATTCTACATCACGGACCGTCTGAAGGAGCTCATAAAGTACAAGGGATACCAAGTGCCTCCTGCCGAACTTGAAGGCGTTCTATCGGGCAATCCCAAGGTCGCAGATGTCGCGGTTGTTGGCGTTTGGGACGAATCCGAGCACACCGAGGTTCCACGGGCCTTCATTGTATTGCAGGGCGGAAACACACCTAGTAAAGATCTGGAATCGGAAATCTGCAATTGGCTTGAGAAACGGGTTGCCCACTACAAACGCCTCAGAGGTGGCATCAAATTCGTCACTGAGATCCCCAAGAATTCAAGTGGCAAAATCATGAGGAGGGTCTTAAGGCAGCAGATCGCTGCCGAAGCACCAGAAATCAAAGCAAAAATGTGAATGTCCGTTTTGAGCATCGGGGATTGCAGGTCTGGATCGCATCTGAAACACTTACGAGAAATAAATTGTGGGTAAGCTAAAGAATTACAGTGGAAGATGAATTTGATAGGAGCATATCCAAAAGTTTCGTGACCATAATTATTAATACCTACTGATTGTAAATACTATCTTCTGTAACCGCATCCAACGTCCGCCTGTATTTGGTGCTGACTGAATTTAATCCTTACAACAGAACATTTACGACCCAAACTGCGAAAAGCAAGAAAAAGCTACCACTGACGTATTTGAGCGATGCAAACCCCGATTGCTTTCGTTCTGCCTGCTTGGAGAGATTCTTATCCGTGCTCTTTATTTTTGATTTGAACACTGCCAACAATTAGAGTGGAAGAAATCATCATTTCAGTAACTCTTCGTACTCTTGAGGGCTTTTGACGCCGGCTTTACAGTGATCAGCCTCGTCGCGGGTAGGTTTGTGGAGGACCACATGGTCAAGGACGATGATGCAGTCGCAGTGGTGTCTGACTGCGTATCTCGAGATACTGCAGAACGGCTTTGATCCGCAAGCACCGGCATTGAATCATTCGCTAATGGCGCGACAAAGGGATGTTTTTGCTCGGCAGTAGCGAATCGAATGTTGATGGCACTGGTAACTTGTTCCGTCTTGGGTCGCTTAGTTTGACTTCTAGTTAGTCTAGCAATTGTCGCTTGTCCCCAAGGGTATATTGCGCTTCGTGATCCGAACTGCGCGTTTGCAGGTTTTGATTTTTGCATGCACCCAATTCCCAAGCCCTGTTGTTCAGAGTGCGTAGGACTATTTGGAACATGGTTTTGACAATTGCATTTGTCACTGAGCCCTGAGCATGAATCTTTTCTGCATTCTAGACTTCTGTCAGCTCCGAGAAAAGTTAGTTGCAGAATCAGCTCGTAGAAACTTTATGCACCTCAAGATTTGAGTCAGCCTATCTGTATTTCGTGAGACAGCTGGTATTCACTGTGCGTGCTTACTCGCTTAGCTTTGACTAGCAGGAAGGAAGAAACCATATCAGTCATATTATTCACATAAATGAGTCTTCGGGTTTGCTTCCTTTCGCCCGCAATGATCTTCTTCCGACAGTTCGCTCAAACTCTGCTGAGGCAAAAGCATTGGTCAAAGCATCAAAGTGAGGTTTTGATCGATTCGTCACCACAAACAGATATAGACTTACTTGGCATGAGCTTTGTTGAGATAGCACTGGCGTATTCTCTGAAACTAGATCGAGTGATGGAATTGGGCCCAAAGATCTCACTTGAGGTCAAATTTTGCTCAGAGAGGTTATTGACATGAGGTACCGCAGTCGTCTTCTGCGAGGCCAGCGTGGTTCTTTTTCCGGTTCCATCAGCCTGGTTACGTTTAGTGTAGGTAAAGCACTGCGTCTGCTTAGCACAAGTAGTATATGGACTGTATGTACTCAGCAGGGTTTTTGTAATAGTAACAGATATTGTCGTGGGTCCACGAAGTGATTCATAGGAGTGAATCTTCGAGTTTGGCATTGTGAAACTGTTCTTCGCCTGGCTAACAGAATGTACAGTGGCGGTTTTGCTATGATACAACGAAGCCATTGTCGAATATTCGCACAGATGAGCTTCAGAGGAGGGTGGAAGCAAGCACCGTTGAGTACTTAGTGTAGTAGTGAACGTACTCGACGGTACGTTGAATGTGGTAGCAAAGTGGCTTGTCTTGCCATTATCACCGAAAAGGGGAGTGGAAACGCCCATATTACCTGCGATTATCTGGGTGCTTGTGTGAACTGCGGGCGAGCAGCTAATGGCATTCGAGGAGCTCGAGTAAGCAATGTTGATTGAAGGTTTTGGAAATTGCGTCAGGCATCTCTGTGCAGTGCCAGTTACTGTGGTTGTGCGTGCAGGGACGTCAGTAGTCATCTTAATTGTCTTGCGTGTCCCATCGACCCCAAGCACGATCGCGGAGGCAAAGGCTGACATGCTTCCAGTGACCGTAGAGATAGTTGTGATAGTCCTTGTCGCGCAGAGAACTGGACTAGTGGGGCCAAAGGTGGAAGGTCTTGTAGGTACCGGATTCATGACATGGACGGTGGCGTGCGAGGTCAAAGTCGTTGTAGAAAATGAGAAGCTCGTCGTAAGACCAATTGAAGCTTTCGTCTCTTCAAAGGAGGGACTAGTGCGGTACGACTTCGATGCACTAGATGTGAAGGGTGCTGTGCAGATCGGAAGTTGCATGTCCCCTGAGTAAGTCGATGTACCATTCCAGCCGTTGTACCGTGCGCCCCAGAGGCTATCATTCTTGACACCCTCCTCCGCTTCTTCACCAAGAAAACAATTGCGGAGGACTCCAGGGCGAGGATCGTATGAGATGTCTACGCAGCTTCGAAAAGAGCTACATGAAGACAAGCATCGTTCAAAGGTGTCGACGTGTATCGGGACCGAGGTGGAGCTGGATCTGTCCGTATGGCATTCGATTTGGTATTCGTTTCCAATTTCATCGATATAAAAAGCGTTATCGAAAGTGCCACAGACAGACGGAAGACAACTCAACTCGACAATACAAGATGGCGAAGGGTATGCTAAGGATGCTGTTGCTTGCGTCTGTATCGCACTTATTTCAGCCAACGACAAGCTTTTGAATGAAAGTCAGATCCATGTATGCATTTCGAGGAAAAGAGACGACGTACGTGGAGATTGAGAATGAGGGAGACGGAACACGGGTGCAAAACGTGAGACATGCTGGCTGAGAAGATGATGAGCGCCGTTCCACGGTCTGTGAAATCGATAATGCTGAATCAAAGGTCAGCTCATCGTTTTCAATTTTTTTTTTTCTATGTCTTATGATCTCAAACCATCCGTTGGGTGCGGTAGGGCCGATGCAGCTTTAGCCAGCAGCATGAGTGATGTGCCAAAGCAAGCTTTCATTCTGCCCGGTTTATGAAGTCCAGACACCAGATCCAGTGGTTGATCAAACTCGACGAATGGGGAGGAAACTCGTCGCGGCAGACTTGGAAAGAAAAAGCACAAAATTCATACAGAGGAACTCTATTCTATATGGAACGGTCTTTGATTGACTTTGAGGACAAGAAAAAGAAAAGAACAACTGGATACGAGCCGAAAGTAAGATCTGTGGGCCACCGCGCCTTCCTCTGCGGCGCTGTACACCGAACTACTCCATGATACGAAGCTGACTGGCTGGACGGATTAGCGAGGAGCTCAGTTGGAAGCAAAATTTCTCAGGCGAAGCGCGGAGTTCTCGAGTTGTCTTCCATGATGACCACTTTCATTCCTAGTATCTCGTGCATCGTCTGTTTGTATCGACACAGCTACAAATCTTTGCGATGGTTTTCGCGCCTCGAGAAATCCGAGGACGGATGCCTCTGATTCAAGACCTGCTACCAAATGAGCCGCGTTCAAATCTGAGGAGAGAATAAATTGAGCATAGTTCAGTTATGTAAACGAGTTTACACATATCACCAGCATCGGGACTTGGAGTTCACCTCTTTGGTAGTCAGATGGGTACGACTCGGCGGTATCCACATTTGCTCCACACGAGGGTGGTTCGAATAAGTCGATAAAGGTATTGGCGAAACTTCTGCCACATATGAGAATGGCATCGCAAATGTTCCATGTAATAGTAGTTAATCGCGGGATTCCGCCCAAAATCCCATAGCCTGTACAGCAGACGACGAGGCTGAACATGCGAGACGAATGCTGTGCTATGAAGTCACACCTTATGCATGTGCTCGGCCTCCATGATCGTCATAAAATTCGTATAAATCTCGTTTCATCATATTGTTTCCTCTTTCATCGCCAACCCTCGTAGGAATAGCAGCAAGGATGCAAGCAAACTGCTCGTTGCAACAGAATTTCTCATTGAATTCTCGAAGTTAGGAGCGACCAAAGACATGACGGCATCATCACAGTGGAGTCAATGACTGCTGCCAATAGCTTTGACTTTGCCTCGACATGCCCATCCAGACAGGGGAAACAAATTCAAACGGCGTCGAATGTGGGTAGAGCACAAGCATTTCATTCGAGTATGCTCCGTCGCTCGAGAGCATCAAGAGGCAGAGCGGCGGATGCGATATGAGTTCAACGGTGCAGACTGCTGGCAGGAACGAGCATGCACTATACGCATATCCGGAGCACGAGAGTGCTGGGGGGCACTAGGCATTTTCGCCTTCCGCAGAAGAGCCACGCTACGTGCAGACGAGACTCTTTGGCTTCCTGTCCGGGCTGACCGGGTCCCGTCACAAAAGGGAGGATGGGAGACAAGCAAGTCCCCTGCTGAACGGGCGAAACACAAACTTCTAGCCTGCTTCTGGTCGGAAGGCAAGCTATGTTTGGGTACTTGTAGCTGTCAACAATGCCCTGTCCCTTGCATACGTGACTTTCGTGCTGCGGCATACACGGCGCCGGCAGGACGGGAAACCACCATGCTCAAAACGAAATTGGGGAACGGCAGGAACATGCAGCGTGAATTATCGCCGTGCTGACGCCCGGTCCTTGCGTGTATCCATTGCACTTGTCGTTCGACGTCTTTCTCCCCGTGGTGGTCTCAAGCGGGACGACGAGCTGAAGGAGAGGGGAGCATGGGAGCCTCTCCTGTGATTCTCGCTCTCCTCATTGGCCATTCAGGTTTCAACATTGCTGGGACCTCAGGGGAAAAGGGAAAAAAAGCATTTAGAGCGTCTGGCGGCGAAAGCTGTCGCACGGCCGATGCTTCGTCGCTCGGACGGTACGTGTGCTGCTGGGAGCTTCCGACATGTACAGCGACACGGCCGAGCTCCAGCATCAACGGCCAAAAGCTTATTCGCGCTGACGATGCCGATACGGCGCTGGGTGCACGTCAGCAATCTCCGCTTTGGCTACGCGGGCTAGATCTCTGGAATCGACCGGTACAAGCACAACAGGACTGCGGACTGGCGTGGGCGGGCGCTGATTGGCCAGAGCCAGATTGTGGCCATTTCCTCGCTCAGCGGCAGGCATCGTCAGATCGATCGCTCACGTGCACACAGGCACGAGTCCTCGTTCCCGGCCAATGCGAGCGCTGCGGTCGTTGGTGCGTCACGGGCGCGGTTTGATTGACGAGCCCAATTTTGATCACGTCCAAGGGCGGCCAGACGGCGCGCTCACCTCGTGCCAGCACAGATGCGGCAGCGATGAGCAATGGCAACGCCGGGGGGATATGGGATGTGCATGCAAGGATTCGACTTTCTTTTCTTAGACCGGCACGCAGAGCCTGGTGGAAGTGGATCTCAGGGCGGGATCCAGGCCTGGGCTTCGGTCGCGGTGCGCACAAATGCCCCCCAAGCACGCTGCCGCCCGACGGACTGGACACCGACGCAAGAGCGCCGTCGAGCCTGGACATGTAGCAGACCGCGGACGGCCTGGGTCGTGGTGTTGTCCGCCGCAACTCAGAGGCGAGGGCAGGGCCAGCGGACGGACGACGAGCCGCTCTCGTCCGCCCACGAAACCGTTGCATGACGGGCAGGGTGCGATCTTTGCCGTGCGCGGCCAAGATATGCATGCAAAAAGCAAATAGTCTCGTCGAGGCAGAGAACCAATCCCGCGGCCGCTTCGATGGAAGGTCCAGAAGAATGCCATGGTCGCACGTATTGGTCCCCACCGCCGCCGGACGTCGACGTGCATGCAGACACAGCGTGTTCAGGTACCGGACAGGGCCTTGTCCCAAGAGATCTGCTTCGGAGCTGCCATCGCCTTCCCGCCAGGTCGTCCAGGCCCGCTGGAGCGCCGCAGAGCGCGAATGTGCGCTCTGCAAACCGACCGGCGTGTCTGCGTCGCTGCTCCTTTTCGCCCGTCGAGGATCGAGGATACGGCTCCGTGCTCATCTTGCCGTCCACGACGGATGGACTGATCGGCGGCTCCATCACACAGCACAATGTTCGCAGCGCACGGCGCCGGCCAGACAGACGGCTGGCCCACATGTGCGTCCTGTACTTGTACAAGCAACCGCTCGCCGCCAACACAGCAGCCGGGGCGAAGCAGCAGAGGTGTGGCGTTGCCTCCGTCATTCGCTCCACTCTGGCTGCACTAGAGCCAAACCCCCAATTCTCCGACAGGCCCGTGTGCGACCATTCTTTTCTCTCTGCTGTCGAGAACGAGTCATCTGTGGCTCGATTTCCCCTCCCAGCTCGTTTTTTTTTTCGCTCGCCAAAGAGCTACGTACATGCGATCGTCGACTGCCAGGTTTTGTTGCGTGCTTGACTTGCGTCCCACACCACCTCCAACCACCCACCCCGGCCCGCTGCTCGTGGCGAACTCCAGCTTCCTCTTCGTCGCCCTCTACACATTCGTCTCCTGCTGTCCCTACGCGCTCCTTCGTCGTGCCTTGTTCTCGTAAAGCATTGACAAAGCGCGTCTCATATGAATTGCTTGCGCCGATCCCAGCGGCCACCATCTTCGAACCACCATGAGCATCTGGCCCTTCGCAAATCGGGCGACAGCTAAACCCAAAAGAAGTGCGCCACCGCCGGCAGCGTCGCAGCCCGGCAAGCCCAACGTCAGCGAGGAAAACCCTGCCGAAGGTGGCGTTATATCAAGTCCAAAGAGACGCACGTCGCGACTGCAAAAGACTCCGTCTCCCACTCCACGGCGAGGTCGCGTACAATCCGATGCGACGCCTCCTGCTCTGGCGAAGGAAGCTCAGCACACCTCACCACGAGCGGCCGCACCTCCGCTCGACCCTATCGCGCTCGCTTCTCCCATGGATGTCGATTTCTCTGCTGCTCGCAGGCCGCGTGCCTCCACAGGCGGCAGCGCAGGCGAGGAAAAAGGCATCACCGCTCTGCCAGGTAGCAAGACCCTGCGAACGAGCCCTCATCTGCGCCCGGTGACACAAGACACGGCAGACATACCTTATAATTGGAACCTGCGCTCGGGCTCGCATCACAGCTTGCCGTCGAATCAGAACCCACAGCGCCGTGGCAAATTGCAGCGCAACCCGAGCCGTAACAAACGCTCCGCGCAGCATGAGAGCCCTCTTGCGCGACGGCGGAGCAGTAAGAAACGGAGGAATGATCCTTTGCGGGAAGAGGAGATTCGGGCCATGAGTGCACCAATCGACGTTCCGAAGAGGGGAACGGACAACGGCATCATGAACCGCGAAGACCGGAAGAGCCGTGGACACTTGAATCGAAACCTTGAAAGGCCGACTTCGACGGTCTCGCTGCCGTTTGAGGAGTCTATACACTCGTCCATGTCCGGTGAAGCTGAGCAACGAAACTACAGATTGAGCGTGCTGGACGTCATGTCGCCCCGTCCCACAATCCGGTTCAGAGACATGTCGAAAACGTACGCGACCGATTCGCCGTCATCGAAACTACTGCGTCAGACTAGTCGAAGTGATCGCCCGTCTGGCAAAGCCGTGCAGGTACGGCCAAATACAGATGAGACGAGGCGGGAGAGAATTGACTCTTTGGCTGATGAGATGGATTCTACCGAGCTTCGCGATATACTTGAAAGAGACCGCAAAAGAAAGGAAAGGAAGAGGGAGCGTGAAGCTGAGCGTCTGAAGCGGAAGTTGGAGAAACGAGCGGAGGAGCAGAGGACGAAGGAATGGCTTGCTCAACAAGCAGAAGCAGTGGAGGCCTCTAACGCACGTGCTCGTCCAGCTCCAGATGCCTTGGATGCTGCGGAAACCGTTCATGAGGAGCAGAAGAACACCTATGTGGCGGAAGAGGCTGACTTCCGTATGGAGGATCTGGAGACTACAGAGACGCCAGCCGTCTCCCACGACCTGGAGAAGCCTCCAATTCCTCTCGAAGACATTCATCCCGCCTTCCGACACCAGTATCAAGGTGCACAAAAGGTGCCCTCAATTGTCGGAAAAGAATCCATGGCAACTTTGCAGCAACCAGAGACGCCCTTATCGAAAGTGGAGACATCGACGGAGATACCAGCCCTCGACACCGCTCGAACCGGTTCGTACACCACAACACGACCCATCACCCCACTTACACCCGTGACATCCACAGTGTACCATGGAGATCGTGTAAAAGCTTCAAAGATACTTGGTACCGATGTCGCCGGAGGCAGCTACACGGTATCAAACACCGCGCTCGACGAAGCGTCGCGGCCAAAAGATGCCTCGCCCAACAAGCCGACCATCATAACACGACTAGACGAAGCAGAAAGAAATGAATCAGAAACACCTCTGTCCACATCTAAGAAGAGAAACGGTTTCTTTGCATCCCTTTTCAGAGGAGGTCGCAGGACCGTTAGTGAGGCGCCACGTGATGCGCCTACGCCTGAGACCTCATTTTCAAGCACATCAAGAGAGGAGATGTCACGTAACATACCGGCTCATCTCGTCCATGAACCGTCAAATTCCACGTCCTTTAAGAAGAGCGGGCTTCCGCTTCGGACGACATCCATCTTTCGCGAAGATCTACCGGAATCGCTACTTGCACCTTCGGAGTCTCGCGGACATGCACCGACTGATATTTCGACATCCCGGAGAGGCATGGGCGCTCGCCGGGCCCATATACCTTCAGCAATCATGAGTGAAGGCTCATTGCGCATCGATAGCCTGGACGATGAAGTGATGAGAACGCCAACATCCCCTCCTCTGGGCAACACTTCGAGACTACTATCGCAGTCGCTTGCGTCTGTAGATTCGGAAGGCTCGTGGCTGTCAGGAAAGTCTCCACGCTCAACGTCCCGCGCACAAAAACACACCAGTTATGGCGGCAGCTCCCTTGGTCGGAGAGAAGAATACCAAGGGTCATTTGAGGAGCTCGGCATGCCCGAGGACGAGTACTTCCGGCGCTTGAATGCACCAGTACGCAGCAGCGAACCGCGAACATCCAATTTATCCGTTGCCATTGCAAATTCGCAGCACGCAAGCAGTGCCGCTCTTCGCAACCCCAACGTCGACACGGAGACCAACTTGAGTGGAAGCACAGCTCCTTTGGTAGAAGAGGGCCAGATAATTCCCCACGCTGGCGCAAGCCGTCAACCGGTTGTTGTACACGGTGACGCTCGTTACAAATCCTCCGAAGGACTACTCAATGACTACCTCTCATCGTCACCGCTGCAGAGCAGAGAAGCAGGTACAGAGGACAACAAGAACAATAACAAAATGCCCGATGCGGAATATCCTACCCCTGCAGAGACCCCAACCGAAGGGAGGAGCAGCGAAGACACGATGCCGATTCAGCGCGCAACAAGCGTGAATTTGGGCAAAGGACATGCACGCAACTTGAGCGCAGGGAGTGCCAAACTGCTAGAAATCACGCGTAGAGGTAGCGCATCGTTAAGCGCGACACCGAATCCGCCAGCGACGCCCCAGATGGCTCAGTTCAGCTTGCATAAGGAAGGAAGCGGCGCCCCGACCGCCAACGATCCCTAGCCGTTGCGCCTGCCAAACTAGGGCAGCCACTGAGGACCAAAGGAGCAGATGGCACCTGCCAAGACGGAGGAGGAGAAGCCTGGGAAGGAACAATCGAAGCATGCCAGACTCATTTTGCCACACTCACTCGTCTGATCATTTCCTTTGTCACCAGCTTGGACCATCAAACGGGACTCAAAAACGAAGAGGTTGGGAAAAATAAAAAGAAAGAAAGAAAGAAAGAAACCTGGTGAGCTAAATGCTCGCCGACCGACGACACCGATAACCACGCCTTATTCCTCGGTACGACCTCATCAACCACGCTCGCTTGACCCATTTCATTACCGCTTTTAGACAAACGACTAAACCGCAACCAATAAAACAAATCCCGAGTCTGGCATCATAGATCTTCCAACCAGCGCAATCCTAACCTCTTCTATACGGCTGGTGTTCTACTCACCTCATCGGCCACGCCCGGAAGCGATTTCTATCCCTTGATTCCATGAAATGGCTGTACTTGTGCCTATATCAGGCAAACTCTTAGAAACTTAGTATATTTGTAATCTTTTTCTTTTCTAGCGTGTACTTGTGGATATAGGCATTCCCTTCTAGTCCCTTGTATTTGTAATGTGAAAAGGGCAAGAAAGGGGGCGTCGGTCACAAGTACGTATTTCACGGACTTGTTGTGTGTCGAGTCAATGTGTGCGTATTTCAAAATCGTTCTTTAGAGATACCCCATGTAGGAAGGAGATCAGACTATTTACAGCGTGGGATGCGCGCTGTGTCAACCAAAATTTGAACAATGCACACAAAGGCGGCGTACGTCCGAGGATTGCAATATCAAAGTCTCTTGTGACACTTTTAAAGCTCCCCAAATTCCACCTATCCTTATGCGTCGTGCCCTCTTCCGGAGCCTTGAAACACCCGTTCCCGCACACTGGATGCTCCAGCTGCAACTTATGCATCACGTCTGCCGGATCACCTCTAACTTTCCCTCGTGATCCACGTGAGGTACGCTTCATGCTGTGCGTTTGGGCCAAGAGCTCAAGCCGTCGTATTCGTAACGTGCAAGGCACGCTTCCGTTCCGCACGGCTCATTAATGGCCCACGCAAGGGACCGAGGAACGCAATCCCAAGAACCCATAAATAGCACGCTGCTTCATGCAAAGCCGGCGTATTCAGACACTTCGACGAACCGCCACAGGCCAGCTTGCTCCGCCGCACGTCGCACGACAGACACCTCTTCCTCAGACACGGCTCGATTGATGTCGGCGTAGCGGACTTCCTTTCTCGCCTCCCCCTGCAAAGGCACTCCTCCAGGCTCGACGTCATCTGCAGACGCTGCCTTTGATCTTGTCTTAGGTTTTCCCACATGTGCTCGGGGGTGGTACTGCTCCATGATATGTACATACACATCCTTCGATATGTTCTCCGCAAGCCACTTAACAATCTCCTGGCCCTCGTCCTCCTTGCCTGGCATGACGAGATGGCGAACCAGCAGGCCCTTCTTGGCCAAACCGTCGGACGTGAAGCACAAGTCCCCCACTTGCTTGTGCATTGCCTTTATGCTTTCCATAGCTACCGCGGTGTAGTTATCGGCTTTGAGCAGTCGCTTTGACGTGCTGTCCTTCCATACCTTGAAATCGGGCATGTATATGTCGATCAGCCCGTCGAGCAATTCTAGAGACTCCAACGAGTCGAACGAGCTCGTGTTGTAGATGATGGGGAGACGCAGGCCCAAGTCGCGCGCGTGCAGGATGGAAAGTACGACTTGAGGGACGACATGCTCAGGTGTCACTAGGTTAATGTTGTGCACGTGCCCCACGTCCTGTAGCTTTATATACCACTCAGCCAGTTGTTCGGGAGTAAGATCGAACCCGTTGCGTTGATGGGCTATGTCGTGGTTCTGGCAGAACACGCAACGGAGGTTGCAACCGGAGAAGAAAACGGATCCAGAGCCGTACCGACCCTGAATACATGGCTCTATTGTCCGAAATCTTAGCATGTTCCACGTGCGCCGTCTTTCATTTTTCGCTCGTACCTTCGCCGAAATGAGGAGCTATGGTGTTAACTTTAACATCAGCACCTATTAGGCATGTCCCTGTCTTCTCATAGCGATTCACGCCGCATAGACGTGGACAAAGATTGCAGTTCCTCAAATGCTTATAGGCCAAGGATCGCTTCTTTGCGGCTTCGGTGGCGGTGAGGAGATGGTAGCGAGGCAGATAATCATCAAGGAGGAATGGCGGAGCGAGATACGATCGAAATCGTCGACCGAGCGCTGAGTTCGGCAAATTCGGGGACCTCAGGCACGATGAGATTGCTTGAGGGCGAAACAAAGCTTTCAAGCTAGCTTGCGACATGATATGTGGATGTCGCACATGGCATGACAATGTGTCACGCTCGCCATGGGTAGAAAAAGACGAGGATGACGTACCGTTGCAGGTGCGAGTATGAGAACGCCCGTTCCTAAGTTATGCTCCAACACGTGGCGGCCTCCCGCCACTCCCAGCTTACCTTTCCTTCATCCAACACCAGTTGAACGAGAAAGGAAATTTTAGATTCACTTATCATATTGTTGATGCGACTCTCTTTAATCCTTGAATATTGTTCTTTTGTACTCTTTACTCCGCGAAGACATGAACGGCTGCCGAAGAAGCTTTGGGCAATATAACGTCTGCCCATCTCGATCAAGGGAAAGCAACGTCCTCGTGGACAACTGGGTTTAGAAATCATTCAACATGGATAGTCGAGGAGCACAGCGTGGAGGCGAGGCAGATGCCGCTAATGTTGCTGAGCGTCAGCGCAAGGAGCAGCAGATCGATGAATCTACAAGTGATGACATGGCTGAGCATGCCGGAATAGGGAAAGTGCAAGACTTCCCTATCAACGACTACAGCTTCGAAAATGCGCAGAACAAGGTCGGTTCTGATCAGGGCTCGTTTCAAAATGAGGGCGATGATGAAGAACCGCCGGAGCCCAAGTCCTTCCAGCGCTCTTCGAGTCCCGGTGTCATGCAGCGTAACAAGAATGCTGCATACGAGAAAGTCGGAGAGGACGGGGTCAACAACATGCACCGATTTACACTTTATGAAACGAGCACGAGGTTCTACCTTGTTGGACAGGATATGATGGAAAAGCAGTTTCGAATATTAAAGATTGATCGGACCGCGCCTCCGGGACATTTGAATATCTTTGAGGACGACATCGTCTATGACAGACGCGAGATTAACCAGCTACTCAATGCTATTGAGGAAGGGAATCGCAATGCTGGTGGAATGAAATTGAAGCTTAGTACGTGGGGATTGCTCGGCTTCATCCGCTTCACAGAGGCATACTACATGCTCCTCATCACGAAACGAACGCATGTCGCCATGGTTGGCGGCCATTACATATATCAGATTGAGGCAACAGACATGATCCCTCTGACCACTGGCTCTACTTCAAGGTTTCAACAAAATCGCAATGCTGAGGAGGCCCGATACCTCAGCATCCTTGGAACTCTTGACCTGACGAAGTATTTCTATTTCTCCTATTCGTACAACATAACCCGCACACTTCAGTGGAACATAATAAATGAGCGAAACGCAATCAATGAAGGCAGACGACGGGGTCGGACGAATTACAACGATATGTTTGTGTGGAACCACTATCTCCTTCAGCCGGCTACCAAGGTACTCCGCAACGTCTACGATTGGTGCGTTCCAATCATCCACGGCTACATCGAACAGGCGTCGCTTGACGTGTTTGGTCGAAGAGTTTATATGAGTGTGATTGCCAGAAGATCACGCTTCTTTGCGGGAGCACGTTTCCTAAAACGCGGATCTAACGACGTGGGTTTCGTTGCGAATGACGTAGAGACTGAGCAAATCGTCTCCACGAAACTAACAACCTCCTTCCACGCTCCGGGTCCTGGTCTCTACACCAGTCCGAACTATACATCGTACGTCCAGCATCGTGGCAGCATCCCCTTGTACTGGTCACAGGACAATACTGGCGTCACACCGAAACCTGATATCGACATCAACCTGATTGATCCGTTTTACACGCCCGCCGCATTGCATTTTAACAATCTCTTTGAGCGATACGGGTCACCGATTTTCGTGCTCAACTTGATCAAGCAGCGCGAGAGAACTCCAAGAGAGTCCAAGTTGGGCGTAGAGTTCCAAAGGGCGGTGGATTTTCTTAATCAGTCATTGCCTAGCGAGCACAAGATACGGTACAAAGCGTTTGACATGAGTCGAGCGGCAAAGACGCGTGGACAAGATGTTATTGGTACTCTTGAGAGCATTGCTGAGACGATCCTGCAAACAACAGGCTTTTTCCACAACGGCCCTCCGGATAGCGAATATACGAGTGTGCAAAATGGTGTCGCCCGTACGAACTGCATTGATTGCCTTGACAGAACCAACGCGGCCCAGTTCGTGATTGGCAAGCGAGCTCTCGGACGGCAGCTTCAAGCTCTTGGTATCATAAAAGGAAACACTGTCGAGTACGACACCGACGCAGTCAATATTTTTACACACATGTTTCATGCACATGGCGACACGATTGCAATCCAATATGGCGGATCGCACCTCGTAAACACCATGTCCACGTATCGCAAAATCAATGAATGGAAGAGTCAGTCACGTGATATGGTGGAGAGCTTCAAACGCTATTACCACAACTCCTTCCTCGACTCTCAGAGACAGGAGGCGTACAATTTGTTCTTGGGCAATTATATATTTGCGCAAGGCCAGCCTATGCTGTGGGATCTGGCTACCGATTACTATTTGCACCATACTGACCCCCGCGACTGGAAAAGAGATGCGAAACGTGACTACATACATTGGTACCAGCCCGAGAATCTGAAACCAAGAGTTCTGCCGCCGGTTATTGGTCCACCACCAGATTTGCGCGACAAAGGCGTCAGTTATTTCGATGATTACTGGCTTGAATATTACCGGCCCCTTGCGATCTCATCGTTTGCGAAAATGTTTGCGTGGAAAATCGGCTCTCGTCCACGATACTTGCCTGATGGCAGCTTTCAAACTGGAACCTGGGATCCGTCCCCCTTTACGCCTCGTAAACCGCCTCAGCAGGAGCCTCCGGACTCGCCTGGAAAGAAAGTCAGAAAAGGAGTCACCATACTCGATCCCCAGAGTGACGACAACGTTTTCTACCATAAAGATTCTCCTGCAAAGCAATCCCTCCAAGCCAACGGGCTGTCCGAGAAAGGTATACATCCTTCGGCAGAACCACCTGACAAGAACAGAATCAATCAATGGACTCTTAATCAACATCATCATTACTCCTTGAATCCGTTTATCACGGCAGCGGAGGAAAAAGAATACGAAGAATATGTTTCGCACCCTCAGAACATACCCCTAGTCACATCGCTTGAAGAACCTGACGTCAACTCTCAAAGCCAGGCGCATCGCACGTACCTGAATTACATTAATTCTGCTGCAAATATCACATCATCTCGAGTTCATACAGCCCATTCCCTCTCCCTTGATGGAACAACTGGTACCGGTGTCATATCAATTGCTGATCATCTCCATAAGAGCACTATTAGTCTCGATGGCACATCATCTATCGTACCACCTGAGCTTGAGATTGGCATCAGCGAGGAAGATCTGGCCGATTATGCGGAGTTCTTGACGGTGAGCGAGAATCCACTGGACGTGACTGAGGAAGACGGTGGGAAGAAACGGTACAAGGCTTATCGTCAATGGCTACGGGGCAAGAGCCTGTTCAAGCAAAGCAAGGTCGATCCGGAGGCAAGAGCATAGGTGCATGAGACATTATTCTCGATGATCGATAAATGCTGCGCGTAATTTTATGCAAAGGTTTAAATTATTTGAGACTGGAAGAATGCGGGACTAGACCGGTTTGTGTGCTGTCATGGCCAGTTCACCGCGTTTAACCATGTGATGAGACATCAACCGGAGACTTTATGGCTGCTGACGCGAAAAGTCGCCGATCCACGCAAAGTCTCCATTGGTATTCTATATCAAGAGTTTCTCTGACCGAGAAAAAATAAAGATGATGTTCAAATGTTTCAAACTTGCCTGCATACCGTCGGAAGAACAATTGGGCTTCGAGCAATATACTCCGTGTCTTCTAAATTTTACACAAGGCCAAGAGTCTATACACCGTTCAATATGGTCACGAAAGTCAATAACTCTGAAATAGGCAAGGCGTTCTCCGACCATGCTGATTTCTACAAAAAGGGAAATCAGATGACTAGCATGGTCGCCAAGTTTGGTCTTGAAAAACTACCACCGATAGATGCAAACTCCGTTGTGCATGACAATGCCTCGGGCCCAGGTGTTTGCACTTTCGTGATCACAAACAGCTTTGACAACAACATAAATGCTATTCCAAGAATCTACGGCACAGACTTTGCGCAGGGGATGATCGATCAGTTTCAGGCCGAGCTTGAGAGGCGTCAGCTTGGGGACAAAGTTTCGGCACAGGTGATGAACTCGACAAGCCTATCATTTGAAGACAACAAGTTCACTCACGTCTTCATGAATGCGGCCATAAGTATGGCGGACGAAATCGCCGTCAAAATGGCGGGCGAGATATACCGCACATTACAGCCGGGAGGGGCGGCATGTGTTACTAGCTGGAGCAAGAGCGGAGTCGGCCTCGTGGAAAACGTGTCCAAACGTATCAGGCCTGACCTGCCACCTGTCATAGTCATTGCGCCCGAATGGAGCACGAAGGAGAAACTAGTGGAGACGCTTGTAGCGGGTGGGTTTGCTGCGTCCAATATCGAGGTGCATCACATAGATGTCGAATGCGATTTTGGCACAGAAGATGCGCGGCTGGCGTACTTCTGCCACCCTTTTTGGGACCTGTGGAAGAAAGGGTGGAGTGACGAGGAAAAGACGAAGTGGAACAAAGTTATGGAGGAAGAGTTGATCGAGTATTTTGGAAGAGGATCTATGGTCCGAGGAAGCAGCTGGGTTGGGATCGCGAAGAAGTAGGCCTCTCGGTCCCTGCCGTTGAGCCAGGAATTTTCTACGAGCCACCTCAACAAGGGATTCTTGTTGACCCAAGTAGTTGAATGCAAAAGAGAGAGGTGGTAATACGAGTTCATTTTGCAGCCGACGTCCACATCTAACAGCGTGAAAGACAATATCTTGGGAAACCAAAAAGTAAAATGCCAACACTCTCCAAGTACTCTGTCGCACCAGAAAAGGGAAGAGAAGCTTTTTCAAAGCAAAAATTAAAGTAAAAGAGTCTCTTTACTGAAAATTTCGCACATAAGATGGCTCCGGTCTTACGATGATGATGAGGACGAAGCTGACGGAAGTGCGTGGAAAATAGAGAGAAGCAAGAACAGTCTCTTTAACGAATCATGAGCAGAACAGATTTCTTTCTATATGTGTACCTGCCTAAAAAAATTCGAAAGTTTCAACGGTCTAGTTTTAAGTTTTGAACATGGTTTGGCCGAGAGGGGCTCGGAAGTGGCTCTCGGACAACGAGCGATCGCTGCCTGGACATGAACGTCACCCATGGTGGTGATGACCGATTCGGGTCACCGCTCGATGATATTCTGAGTCATACTAACGCGTCGTACTCGAGACACCAAGATTATCCTTTTCACTGTTTCCGCTTTCATGCTCAACGCGCTCAGCGGCTTGATCCTTCGTCAAGCGTTACGGATACATTCTGCTTGACGGCCTATGCGTTGTAGTCGCAACTCTGGAGCCACAGTTTTCAAATCGCCTCGACACGCTGCCATATCCGCCGCTCAATGCATGCAATTACAGTTCCTAGATGCCTAGATGGGCAGAAATCTTTCAGACGTATGATTTTAGAGCATGGTCAGAATGAGTCGAGGTGCTCTCGTCTCCAGATGTCGGCTGTCTGGGGCACATTCTTACACTTATTTCTAGTAGGGTTACTGATCCATCTGTTGTAGCAAAGTTTTCATTCAGAAAATTCGAATAGATTATCTTCCTCGTTCCAGACAACTTTCCTCCTGATCTCAATCTAGACAATGCATTAGAGATCCTCATCCATCACTTCAGAACTATGCAATCCAGCTAGATCCGCGCAAGAAAGCAACTGCCAAGACATTTCTTTTGTACTTCCGATAAGTGCTCAGTTTTAGACAGAACGTACGATCTGTTTTCGAGAAATCAAGTGAGTGAATATTGACACGCCAACTGAATGAGAAAGGCTAACGGTTCGAAAGATTCCAAGTGGACGCTCGAATACGCACGAGAAAGAACAGCTGTAGCTGAGTAGGACCAGGTATGCATGTCAGCTTATCTTCTCCCCCATGGAGTTCGACCAGGAGATCGAGACAGAAGGCTTAGTTCCGGGAAAATTTGGATATAACGATCTACGGAGCGGTCGTCCATTCAAAGGGTTGGTCTTTCAACCAATTCAGGAGAAAGAGGAACCAAAAATGCATTTCGAGAGCAACGGTAAAGACCAACTGCCTATCCTCAAGTTATGAACAACGCGAACCGCTCGCTTAGGCTTGACAGGCACGATTCTTTATCTTGTTGGCCGCAAGCCGCCATTTGAACTTGCAGAAATCGTTTAGCCTACTGGGAGATGATCCTCGATTCATCCAATAACCAGTGAAGGAGACGGACTTCCCAAATACAGTCTAAAATCTGGCGGAGCGTCCATAAACGTAGAAGACTTGGCCTTGATTTCGACTTAGCTCTGTCCAAGGGGATGGATGCTCCCAGGAGCAAGCTACATCGCCAAAGAAGGATAGAAAAAGCTAGATCCGATTCATGATCTGGGCATCCATGGTACACACGAAAACATTCATTCCGGAAGCCTGGGCTAGTTGATGAAGTTTCCGACCTGCCGGATCGAACAGTGGATCAACTCACCATGTGGGCTACAGCAGCAAGCATTCGGAACGCAGGTCCAATTTGGAAGCATATTTTGCCGAGGATATGTTTCATATCCATTCTGTCGTTTCTGTCATTTGCGTACTCTCTGGAGATTGCCTTGGGAATGCACAAGTGAAATTCAGGAAATTGCTGGCCTATCTTGATGCTCTGCGGAACCTACAGCTGCCAAAATCATCGTCAGGAGCAAACCGTGCCTTTATTTGGTTGCATCAATGGACCACGAGACAGATGGAATTGTAGAAACAAACGATCAACCCCGGCCATGCTCCATAATGCATGATCCCCTTCGAGATAAGTGTCGGACGATGAGCAGGATACGGCCAAAGGGTATCCCTGCAACTCTCCCCGGCGCTCACGTGTCCACCATGTGACCTTTACCAAATATTAATAGGAACATGAACCAGATTCGCGCCGAGAGACAATAGGCTAGAAATAATACAACGTAAAATTGGAAGCTGCCGAAATGCCTGTTCTGAAAGCCGACCTACAACTGCGAGCCTTAATAGATGCTTCTTATCTCACTGGTGTGACATGTGCTCCTGCGTGGTACCGACGACACCTTGTCTACGCGAGGACGCCTTAAAAACCAATACACCGTGGTGCGGTGATAATACGAGCTGCAACTGTGCGAACTGGTACGCAGAAACATTGAGCGTGATTGAGATGCCCAATGGCGCTGCCGTATTTGCAGACTGTCGAAGCACCAGCGGAACAGCCAGGGAAACATGATCCTACGGGACAGCTCATCTCCATTCCCCATCTCCCATCTCAACATCGACGGTAGTTGATGCTGGGACACGTATCTAGCAAGCAACAAACCACATGGCAGACACGGATAGCAATGCGGGGTTATGAATCTCTTGCTAATAGTTTTCTATTTCCCCAGCCGTGCCGTCGGAGAAGCATGCTCGGCCGAGCTTTCAGGTCGGCCCAAGGACACTTTGAGTCTTCGGAAAAGGTTTAAAATTAAAACCCCACCGAATTGAACGGGCACGAGGGGCGCGGCTCGTTTACAAACGGCTGCACTGACTTTAGCCTCAGTCTCGTCCCGCAGTTGACTCGCAATGCTCCTCGTGAGAACGACTATCCGGGTGGAGCGTGTCTCCACAAAGATTTGATGCACTTAAAGCCTTTTACCGAGACTAGGGAAGCACAAACTGGTGTCGCCGACCCCATGGAAAATTTTCATTGGTGGACTGAAAGGCGACGCCACTAAAAGGAACAAGACTCTCTTCGCTTCGGCTATGTTAAACTGGGTCCGACGATAACCTTCGCACAGTGCGACGCGTCATTTTGTGTAGTACTGACGATTGGTAACATGCGCGACGATTCAAGAATAGCCGCTGACGGACAGGCTCAATGCCCAAAAAAAAACAGGACGGCGATATGCGCCGAGAATCTGCATGGAAGGTAGCGACAGGATTGCTAGAACGTCCAGGTGTGCATGATTCTCGTTGGTCCGGCCCTGTGCAAGGAAGAATCGAAGCTTCAGATAAGCTTCGAAGGTAATGCTTGTGTCCGGAGACTAGGCTGAAAGCGGCTGGAGCATGCGGCAGCTGGCAATTTCTGCGCAGAACGGTTGTCCGCTTTATTTCCTGACCTAGGCTGTTTCAAGCAGGTCGAAGACGTGAGCAGAGACCAGCGCAAGCGATGGCGATTCCTCTCATCATGGCTGACCAGAGTTCACCCGTCGATTTCATCTCCCCCTGTGGCGAGCCATGAGCTTGAGAAATCACTCTTCACGCGGCCAAAAGAACGGATGGATCGAAGCGCGTCTGCAAAGTGAACTGGTTGCATGCATGTGTGTGGTACACGGATCACGGTCTAAGCTATTCTTTGTCTATTCCTCCGGCCCCAGATCGACTACGTAGACGGCCTGCTGATGGTGCTTTGACAGCTGACTGGAGCGTTTGATATGTCTCTGCGCGCGCACCCAATAGGAGCGCAAGAATGGTTATCGGTGGCCACGAATGCCACTGGGCGTAGATCTGCCCATCCCCGGCACCATTGTCAATCTCACGCTGCTTTGGACGCACACATAGCATCCCCACAACGTGAAGGACGTCAGCCAAAAGCTGTTGCCACTTACGCTCTCCACCTTCTCAACTGGGATAATGAGCCTGGGGTCTGATCTTCATTACCGACCCATCGAACATGCGAGGCGCTCAATGTCACCCTCTTATCGTCCTCGCAGGCCTGTCGCGTTGTAACCACGGTGCTTCTAGATTGCCGCCGATCGTCCGACTAACCGCTGCTATGCGCGCTTGCTTCATGATACAAGTACTGAACGACCCTGCCAGTATCGCTCGCGGTTCTTCTCAAGCGCCCTTTCGCCCATCTTTGCGGTCAAAATGGCGTCTCACGAGGACTACGACACAAAAGCACCGATTGAGGCCACTCCTTCCAACGAGAAGCAATCGGAAACGATCGATGAGAAGAAGGCCGGGACGGTGATCGTGAAAGGCGATCCTGAGGGCTACGATGGAGAGCTACCAAAGTACAGCCACGAACACCGTAGGGTCGTCGACACGGCCGAGGAAATCACCACGGCCGTCTTGCATGTCGAGGATGATCCGACCCTTAACCCATGGACCTTCCGCACTGTCTTCCTTGGTATGCATCAGCGAAGCAGCAGGAGTAGTACACGCATTTTCTAATTCAATTCACAGGTCTCGGTTTCGCCGTCTTCGGTTCCACTCTTCAAGAGATCTTCTACTTCAAGCCGCAGACAATCTACGTATCCGTAGTGTTCTTAACCGTCCTGGCATACATCCTCGGCGAGGCACTGGCGCACTTCATCCCCCGGAAAGGAGCAATTGGTCGGCTCTTCAACCCTGGCCCCTTCAACAGCAAGGAGCACGCATGCATTACGCTGATGGCGTCCGCAGCTGCCCAGTCCGCGCTCTCTACCGAAGCTCTTGCAGCTCAGCAGCTCTTCTACGGCGGCTTCCCAAGCCGTGCTGCTGCAGTCTTCATCACACTCTCTTCCCAGCTGATCGGGTACGGCGTCGCGGGACTGCTTCGCGATGTGCTCGTCTATCCTTCGAAGATGTTGTGGCCGTACAACCTGCCGGTCGCCTCCCTCCTGGAGTCTCTCCACCGTGACAAGGCGGAGACCAAGCGCAAGTTGAAGCTCTTTTATTGGGTGTTCATTGCCATCTTCCTTTGGGAAATTGTGCCTGAGTGGATCTTCCCAGTCCTTGAAGGTTTTTCGATCTTCTGCTTGGCAAACCAGCACAGTTTAGTCTTTACCAACCTTTTCGGCGGTGCTAGCGGCAACGAAGGTCTCGGTTTCTTAGCCGTCAGCTTCGATTGGCAGTACATTGCTTCTCTGGGTTCGCCAATGTGGTATCCCTTGTACTCGTTGACCAACTCGCTCATCGGATACCTTCTTTGCATTGTAGTCTTCATGGCCGTCTACTATGGCAATGTTTGGGGCTCTCAAAAGTATCCATTCCTGGCTCAGGAGCTGTTCTACCCACAGGGGTCAAATGGAACGTACTACAACGTGTACAACCAAACACTTATCTTGAACAGCGATTTCGAAATTGACAAGAATCTTCTTGCTCAGGAAGGTACTCCTGCGTTGACCGGCACGTACCTGGTCTACCTCATCACGAGCAACATGGGCTTCACTGCCACCTTCGTTCACATGCTCCTTTGGAACTATGATGATATTAAGGCTGGCTGGGCCTGGGCTGCGCCAAGTAATCTGGCAAAGCTTTTCAAGAAGGAGACCTGGCAGTTCTGGAAGCAGAAGGAGACTCCAGAAGAGCGTCTCGAGCGCAAGCAGAACGATCCTACCATTGACCCGCACTACAAGGTTATGCTCAAGAACCTGTACAGGGAAGTGCCTCTTTGGTGGTGGGGATCAATTGTCGTGATTGCATTCATCATGGGCATTGTTTGTCTGTATGTCATGAAATCTACACTTCCCTGGTGGGGCTTCGTCATGAGCTTGATCTTCAGCTTCGTCGCGATGTTGTTCTTTGGAGCTCAATTCGGTATCACCGGATTCCAGTTCAACACCCAGCCATTTTTCCAGATGATTGCTGGTTACATGTTCCCAGGCAGACCATTAGCCAGTAAGTTAAAGTCCATAACAACGCTAGTTTCAGCTGCTAAGCAATTCCTCAGACTTGTACTTCACCTGCTACACCTACAACGCTTTGCAAATGGGTCAGGTGTTGGCACGCGATCTCAAGCTTGCGCAATACGTCCACTTGTCTCCACGATCCACATTCACCGCCCAAATTCTTGGCTGCGTTGTAGGCGCTCTTATGAACTACTCGATGATGTTGACGTAAGAAATCTTCTTCCTTTGCCTGGTGATAATGCTAATGTATAACGTGAAGAATCGTCGATAATCAAAGTACCATTCTTACTTCTATTGCGGGTACCAACATCTGGTCCGGCCAGAACGTCCAGCAATTCAACACACTTGCCATCGCTTGGTCGATTGCGAGCGACATGTTTTCTTTCGGCGCCAAGTATCAATGGGTCACCATCGTGTTCCTCCTCGGCTTTGTCGTTCCCGTTCCTTTCTGGCTTGCCTATCGCTACACTGGCTGGCGCGTGTTCAGGTATCTCAACACGTCCATTATTCTCTGGTACATGGGCTGGTTGTTTGTCGGTATCAACTCCTCCATCCTCAGCTACTTCGCGATCGGCTTCTTGGCCCAGGGCTGGTTGCGAATTTACCGCCCACAGTGGTTCGTAGACTACAACTACCTACTGTCTGCTGCCCTCGATGGTGGCACCCAGGTGATGGTCTTCATCCTCACCTTTGCGGTCTTTGGTGGCTCGGGCAACGCCGTCAAGTTCCCCACTTGGGCAGGCAACCCCGATACGTCTGTCCATAATCTAGACTATTGTATGGTTAATCCTGCTGTGTCTTCCTAGATCGTCTTCCTCGAAGATCGCGGAAGCGACCCGATTTCTACATAACGCAAAGTCGGATGACAAAAGCGTAGGAAAAGATAGGACAATAATCAAAATTATTCATGTTCTTGCCCATGTATTGACGAGATCATTCGTATCTACAAATGAATATTGCACCGAGGAAAAAGAACTGAAGACTTTACAATGTGATCGCTGTACGCTTCTGCCATGAATATGGTAATTCAGTCGTTATCATTGATCTACTTTTGAGTGATCAAAATGGAAGCCTATAATCCTTGCGAAAGGCGTTTCACAATAGCGGACACTTCGCAAGATGTCTACCCTTTCGCCTGCACCTAGTGCGGAAAACATGCCCAGAACTTTTTTCAAGCCTAGATATCTTGAAAGCTTGATGTGGAGAACGTCGTGAACGTAATTCTGCTTGATCTTACCATCTTAGTACGTATGTTGCTCTGTAAGCACAGGTACTCCCTGTCCGTTCATATTTTCAAAAAGAACACAAAATTTTTTGTCAAGAGCCAAGTTCGCCCAAGGTTGATGTCGACACAGGCAAGATTTTCAACCCGAGGAAAAGTAAGATCTAAAGAGGAAAGTGTCCAAGATTTGCGCTTCCGAGATACATTGATATGGAGGATATGAGCAGTTTCCTTGATGGAGTACTGGCAAACAACCGGCCTCGTGTTGGGTTGAGCTGAATTTCCAGTTCGCAAGGCGTTGAACACTGGCATTCAGAGAAGGCATAGCCGCTGTTCTAAAGCCTTCGCGTCATATATATTGCTTCCGTGGATGTTACTGGAATTTGAGGCGTGTTCCAGGTATAAAGCCTGGGGCTAGGGTCGAAAAAAATTATTATATGATGGGTCGTCCAAATTCAATGCTCATGATTAATTCATGGCATGCTCAGATTGTGTATAAACAGCTTTGAAAATGTTACAATGGTATGTTTCAATCGACTCACAGCCGACTCATCTGCGCAAAGCTTGAACCCTCCCCTCTTGAAATTGCTTCGACGATGTAGTCCACGACGTTCAGTGCCCACATGCTGCCCTCGTCGCTTGAAAGCCAGGCAACTCCTGATTCAGGCAAAGGCATATCGTCTTTCCACGTTCCGTCCTCGAAGGCCTTGCGAAGGCCAAATATGTGGCTGGTCACCTGGGGCCCCACTCCTGTTTGGGCACGAAGGCAAGCAATTGCGACCAAGCTTGTCAAGACCCTGCCGACGCGGACGTCTTTGGGCGACGGATCCGCAAAAAGCACGGAATAGGATTGCAAGATGTAGACCGGGAGATCTGGGTGCGAGTCCGCCAGCTTCTCCAGAAGCTTGGTTTCGTGCGGCCGATAGATGCTGTTCCACAGCGCGAGGCCACGGGCTTGTGTTGTCTTGACGTTCTCGGGAGTCACCACGCGAGACGCGCCTGTCGATAGATTCTGCCGGACGGCCGCAGGCAAAGATGCCCGGAACGCACCAAGCATATTGATCGTGCGCGGAATCTTGAATGATCAGAACGTGGAACAGTCTGGACGACAGCCTAGGTCCCGAGAATACTCACTCCATTGAAACCGATGCATTTGAGGCCGATTTCACGCATCAACTCGGCGGTTTTGACGCATTCTTCCTGCTTCTTGAGTCGCGTCGCATGTTGATAAAGCACGGCCAAAGAATTAGGAGAATTCATGGTCATCGTCGCGGCTGTCTGGAGTGCCTCATTAGCTGCAGCTTCGTTGATCAGCACATCCCAAATACAGTCAGGGCCAGCCACTCTGGCTGTGAAAGACCATGTTGTTCTGCCTCCCTCTCGATACGCTCGAAAACAGACGCGATGTTCCGAGGAGCCGTGAGAGGTCCCGGACGAGCGGCTGGGGCATTTATGAGTGACTTGAGGGCGGCAGATAGCTTAGACATTGTGACTCGCAGTTGATGGATTTTCCAATCGCATAGCCGGAGGCTGGTATCTGCAGATCTACAGCATATATGCTCAGTTATGATGAAGCACGTGGTTAAGGAGTGCAAGGCTTGTACCGAGCTTTACGATCCGGTGGGGAACTTCCACATCTGCTTGGGGGCTGCAAAGAACGTAGAAATCAGATAGGAATCTTGAACGCGACAAATCAAACGGCAAAGCAAACTTTTATTATAGCATGAGCAAGAACGGAGGCATTGTGATGAATTTGTACGTTGACTATGTATTTGGGATTAGAATATGCTACATGACACAGATCCTTTCTCCACGCACACTTTTCCCCGCTTTGTTTTCGTCCGTCAACGTCTTGTCCTAACGGCCCTTGCTCGCATTTCGTACGTAATAGTTTGACATCCACATCAATGAGATGAATATGAAGGTAATGGAATATCTTCAAGAGACGAGAGTGTAATTCTACATATAATTCTTAAAAAATAATTTTTCGCATGATCCATTCGTACTCAGCCGGATGAACAAGACCTGAGCATCGACTAGCTGTCGTTGAAATTAGAATAGTATCAGCCATTCTGAACTTGGTGTTTGAAAGCGCTGGAGACCGCATCTATTTCAGACGACACGTCAAACAATGCCACACCTTCATGGCTTCGAGGTCTCAGACGTGCCAGAACCAGGCAAGGAAAGACGAGCAGTCTCCTCACATACTTATGGGTTCCACATCCGCCATCCACCTAAACCACACCTCTTGACTAACTTCATCACGCAGGAGGATGAGCTCTTTCAGACGATACATATGGGAGCCGCTGAAGTTGACAAGGAGAGATGGCTACTTGTCATTGACGGCCTCGTACGACGGCCATTCTCCTTGACTTTCGAACAGCTTTTGAGATTTCCAAGCACCAGCCTTACTTCGTTCCATGAGTGCTTCGGCAGCTCCTTAACCCTGCGACCAACAACGTCTGGCGCATCAGCAACGTCACGTGGACTGGACTAAAGTTGGGAACTTTGCTCTTGATGGCCGAGCCAACTCCAGCTGCAAACTTTGTCTGGTTCGAGGGTCTTGACTGCGGCACTTTTGCAGGGGTAGAGGCGGACCGTTACCAAAAGGACTTACCGCTCGCAAAAGCATCAAGTCCAGAAGTTCTTGTCGCATATGCCATGAACGGCGAGCCTCTTGGGCGTGAGAGAGGAGGGCCGGTTCGACTCGTGGTACCTGGCTGGTTCGGAACGAACAGCACAAAGTGGCTTTGCAGACTTTCTATTCAACAAGGCCGAGCTCCGGGGCCGTACACGACCCAGTTTTACAACATCGAGGACCCGGACGATCCGAACTGTAGGCCGGTTCCTGTCTGGGCGGTCGATGTCAATTCCATCATCACGAAACCGAGCCCGGAAAAGGCTGAGAAGGGACCTCATGTTGCGATAGAGGGCTGGGCTTGGAGCCATGACGGCGTGGTCCGCGTCGAGATAAGTTTGGATAATGGCGATTCCTGGCTCGACACGCAAGTAGAACCGAGAAAAGAGTTTAGCTGGCAAAAATTTAGATCGACCGTTGTGCTTCGTTCCGGAGGCTATCTGATCGTTGCTCGGGCTACATCGTTAGGGAAACGGCGCCAACCACTTGTTAAGCGAAGAAATCATGTACACGCTGTGCAATTCTGCGTTGAGTAAATGGTCCATCACTCCTCATAAGAGCAAAGATTTTGCCAACGTTTGAAGATATAATAATGTCTTATAAATAAACATTATACCGTTTTCGTTTCTAAAGGGTATAAAGATAAGCCTTTAAACTACGAATAGTTTTTTCGGCAGCTGCATTACACTATTCTTTCACAATCTTCTTTTGACTATTGAGATTCCATGTTTGCATGATTAGAGCTAGAGTCAGCATCTAATGTATCTGGTTGTTTTGTTTCCCAAGAGCCACAGTGATTCTAGCCACACAGGGCACTACATTAAATACTCAAAAGATTACCATGCTAGCTACCCAAATTATACGCACGACGTCAATGATCCTCCATCTCGTCGCTGAGCATCTAGCTTGATGCCCGTTGCAGATTCTAAATGCTGTACGCAATAAGACTCAATTTCTGAAGCACATCCCGCCTTCCGCATTTATGCACTTAACTTTCCGGGGATTGATGCTGTCATAAATTGAACTACATCGCGGCCAGTCCTCGCTCTTCGATAGTGGTTTCACAAGTCTACGTTCCCTCGCGTCGAGTAGCAACAAGACTGTCTGCTCCATCCTTCGTTCGTCGACCATGTATTCGTGCTTTCGTATCTACATTTCCTCGACTTTTTCCGTGATCGAGTTTCCAAGCAAAGAACATATCTGCCTCAGCCTAGACCAAGCACTTGAACTTGCGAAAGTGTTTCACGAGTTACTGGCTGGCCTTGATACGCACCCAACGGAAAACGACATCATCGATCTGGAGCAAAAATCAATCGTTGAGGATGACTACAGCCAGGTCTGAGAACAGGTCAAGAATGCAGACCATGCAAACGAGGAGAACGAGGTTCCACGTCCTTCCACGACGTTTCTCAAAGGATGGTTGGAGACAAAGAAGCTTATCCATGAATTGATTATGGCGGGGTTGCACTCGTATTTGGCTTGTGGTAGCTAGATGTTTGGTGGTTGAGGTTGGCTAAATTTCAGCGTCACTTGGCCAATGTGGCTAGGTTGAACTCTGACGGGTAACTCCCGAGTAGCAAGTCATGCGTCCAAGTAAGACTGGCTTGGAAGACTTCATCCTAAGTGCAGTGAATACACGCTTCCACAGAATGTATGTTGGATTGAACGCTTTCAGAATCCCTGGGATTAATGTTGCTTATGATACAGCGTTTAATGAAGCTGCCCTTTCTCGACTTTTCCACAGCTCGATAAGTATCTACGCTACGAATTGCTACTACTGATACGATTTGAGCGAAGCGAAGCATTGGGTAGCAAGAATGCGTGATTGTCATCATCTATCATCCCGCTTGCGATGTGACCCAGCCATAACAGTCGAAGTCTGCACGCCATCTACTGAACCAGAATTCCTCTGTGGAGAAACTTCATAAGTCACCCACCTTTGGGCTCTGATTGACCTTTCCTCACAATCTTGATCCCATTCACGGTATCTCTTCCCATCATTCCCCTCGCGCCTGTGGGCATCCCGTCCACGTCGTCGACATCCATGGCGTCGTATCCTCCTTTCCACTGCTTACTCTCCTCCTCCCATTTTTGTCGCTCGATCTCATCGAATTCGGCTCTTCGATCGATCCATCGTTCTTGAACGTCCCTCACATCCATCGTAATCCCAGAATCCCTCATTGCGACCCTCCAAACGCTGTCATTCGCCGCCCCGTCCTTCGTCCCAAAAGCGTAGCCGCTGGCTCTGTCAATGACCTTGAGAAGTGATGCCATCGAGTGCTTGTCCTCAACCGCGAGCGTCTCGAATCCTACGAGCCCAAAATCTTGCACGAGCTCTATGATGGCGCGATTTAGCGCGGAGAACTTGCTTGGTTCCTCACTCTCTTCGTCCGCTTCCTCGTCACTCATATTGTCAATCTCTTCTTCTGTGCGCTGAGGTTTCCCACTGCGTTCCGAATCCAAGGCTGGCAGAAGGTATTCGAGATCCTGGACCTCGGTATAAAAGTCAAGATTGAACGTCAGCGGTGGGTAGTTGATCAGGTTGTCAATCTTCGTAAGCACGTTCAAGTGCGGGAGGTCCATCTGCAGCATGCTTCGCAGGGCAAGAAGCAGCGCGGATATGTATAACGATGGCTGTGTAAGGACAAACGAGTCGGTCAGATGGAGAACAACTAGCTGAGTCAAACGTTAGCTGACGCATGGACGCAGAGTGTGGGAGGCCAGCGGACTCTGTACCCGATTTTCTGGAGGCGGAAAAATATGTTGCGGAGGGACGAGTGGTGCGTGAAGAGCTCAACCTGGCCCGGACAGTCGAATATTACATAGTCGTCTTCGAGCTCTTTGAGCCGCTGCTCGAGCCATTCAAAATTGTGCTCTAATTCTTCCACAGCGTACAACACGCCGCCATTAGGGCCAAGCTCATCGTCTTTCATAATCTCATCCAGCGTTACCAGCTCCCTCACGTCTAGGGCGGCCTTGTATGAAGTATGATCGTTTGCGGGATCGAGATTGACGACGGAGCACCTTCGGCCGATGGCTGACATGAACTGGTGCATTCCATCACAGTAAGTCGACTTTCCAGAGCCTGGAGGCCCTATGACGAGCTGCGCAAAGGGCATCGTGAGCCTCGATGCAAAAGAAAGTGAGCGATAGTAAATTTGCAAAGTTTGGTGGCGGCGAAGAGCAGAACTTCTGCGGAGTGTTCTTGATATTACCTCATTCGGATTAGCCCCGAGTTCCGCTCTTTAGGGCTGGTGGGCTAAGCGAAGCAGTTACATAAATGTAGGAGAGAAGTGTATTATATATATAGCACGTGTGGCGCGTGTGCGTGGTCTAGATTAACATTGAAATCATTATAGAAACGGTCGTTCTCGTCATTCTCAAAAACATGACTTGTGTTGTAGTGCAGATCTTAGCCGTGTAAGAGCTCCAACAGATCATGGGCACACGAGAATTGAAGCAAAAAATGTGCTTCGACTATGTATGAATAGGTAGAGTAGCTATTAATGCGGCCTCTATTTGTATCGTGTCCTTTTTGTCGAGGTTTGAAGAAGAGACGGTAAGTCAGCTATGCGAGTGTTGAGCTCGTATGCGGCAAGCATAATTAGTCCGCGCTCCAGTCATGTACAAGCGATGAATTCTCGCCAGTTCTCGTAGATGGCATCCGATAAGGATAGCTTCTGGTCTGAAATCAAACAACAGTCCCTATCGTGCAACACTCGCAGCAGACATCGCATGTGTTGCTCACTTCCTGGTGGAGGTACAGCTCAACCCGAATCACGTCAAGCGAACCCGTCTCGCACTCTCAAGTCTCACAGGCTCGACCTCGGAAAGACAGGACTGAAGTCGTATTTGGCAGCATTTATGTATTCTTTGTGACCGAAACAAGAAAGGAGCAAGTCTGGGGCTTTTATGTAGATCTCCAGTGCAGGAAACCATGCCCCACACATATAACTGACGAATCTATCCCGACAGGTCGATATCCCTTCCTCCGTAGACTAAAGTAGCGCTTCGGAGACACGCCTGGGGCGTGTGGGAGCTGGAGCACGTGAAGCTAAGGTTGAAACACGTCCACGCATCGGCGGAAAGGGTCTGGACAAACCAACTTTAGCTTCCGTGTCCAGCTTGGCTTAGTGTGTATACTCAAAGCATCTTTGGAATGCCAAAGTCCGGGATTCAGCAAGGATGACCCTTCGAGATCCGCCTTTCATGATACATGATTCCCCGCAGTTTCCATACGGCCGCGAGGCTGGGGGAGGGGTTGATTCATTGTTAGCATTAAGAAAAAAAAACGCTTGTGGGACAGGTTTTTGCTGTCGACTGTTGATTCTTGGGGCGATAACGAAGAGAGCAGACGGCCGCGTAATGACGAATCCAAACATCAGGAGATCATATAAGACGCCGGTTCGACCGGCTTCACGAGGCAATCCTCGTCGAGAAGGATGCGTTGAGCTGCTCTCGAGTGCTTGCAGACATACCGTCATTGTGTGTTGCCCCCAGTGAAAGTATCAGGAGAGATTTGCGTCAGGATCCGGTGCCGCAGCCGCTGAGGTCCGAGCTCGCGCCACGATCAGACCTCGCCCGTATACGGAGTACTTGCCCTTGAGCCTCCCCACATCAGCACATCTGGTTCGTCTTTGACAAGCGTCCAGCGGGTGGACTGATTGGCAAGTTTGGTTCCATCGCACCGCTTACTACGACTCTCAAACAATGACCTATCAGCTGATGCCCGCTATTATCTGGGCCGATTGTCCGACGTGATAACCTGTACTTCATCCGAACGGACCTCCACCAATCATGAATGCGTCGTCGTTCGGCTCCTGGGCAATTGAGGCCGCATGTCCATGGCCTAACCTATTTCAAGCTCATGGAAGATAGGAAGGCGTGCAACGCTCCATACAGCCGGGCCAAGTCCATGGCATTGATCCGCAGTGACATCGCCAAAGTCCCTGAGCTCTCTCCGGGATGACCGCATTGAGCGTAAGACCCTACCTCTTTTACATTTCGGCATGCGGGGTTGCTACAATTGAAAAAGAAAAAAAAAACCTGGGGTCCGCTTGAACTGTTTTCTTGGGGTATTTAAAGATGTCTTGCTTACCGTTTGCTTGATCATATCCATCACACCACTCCTATCGCCCTTCTCCGAACTCCTATCTGGCTCCTTGCCCCCAATTGAGCTTATAAACACATCGAGAACGCACGGCTTGAAGCTCAACGTTCATCACATACACAAATCCCAATCGCTTCAGCAAAAATGTCTATCCCAGCTACGCAGATGGCCATGGTCATCGAGAAGACCGGCGGCCCAGTTCAGTACAAAGAGATCCCAGTTCAGAAACCCGGCCCAGATGAGGTTCTTGTTAACATCAAATACTCTGGTGTCTGCCACACTGACCTTCACGCCGTCAATGGCGACTGGCCGCTCCCAACCAAGCTGCCGCTCGTCGGTGGTCACGAAGGTGCCGGTGTCGTCGTCGCCGTAGGCAACCTTGTTACAGACGTCCAGATCGGCGACCACGTAGGTGTCAAGTGGCTGAACGGCTCTTGCTTGGCCTGCGAGTTCTGCCAGACATCTGATGAGCCGGTAAGTTTTGTTAGAACGCGAACCAGAAAGAATACGCTTTGACGCTGACCGCGACACAGCTTTGCCCCAAGGCTCTGCTTTCCGGTTACACAGTGGATGGATCCTTCCAGCAGTATGCCATCGCCAAGGCTGCACATGTGGCGAGAATACACAAGGACATCCCACTCGATGCCATCGCTCCAGTCCTTTGCGCCGGTATCACGGTCTACAAAGGCCTCAAGGAGTCGGGTGCGCGACCCGGCCAGACCGTTGCCATTGTCGGCGCCGGCGGTGGTCTTGGATCTCTGGCTCAGCAGTACGCAAAGGCCATGGGTCTACGAATCATCGCCATCGACTCGGGCGAAGAGAAGAGGAAGATGTGCGCGACTCTCGGCTCTGATGCCTTTGTCGACTTCGCAACTAGCCAGAATGTCGTCAAGGATGTGCAAGCCGCCACTGAGGACGGTCTAGGTCCACATGCTGTCCTGCTTGTTGCTGTGAACGAGAAGCCGTTCCAGCAGGCTGCAGAGTATGTCCGACCACGTGGTACAGTGGTGTGCATCGGTCTCCCTGCTGGTGCTTACCTGAAGGCCCCTGTCTTCGAGTCCGTCATCAGAATGATCACAATCAAGGGCTCATATGTAGGGTACGTTTCGCCTCTTAACTCTCCTCGCTCCCTGTTGTGCGAAGCTAACGTCACGTCATAGCAACCGCAAGGATACCCAGGAAGCTCTCGACTTCTTCCGCCGTGGTCTCATCAAGGCGCCATTCAAGGTCGTCGGTCTCTCGCAGCTGCAGGAGGTGTACGACCTGATGCAGAAGGGACAAATTGCGGGACGTTACGTGCTGGACACTTCGAAGTAAGGCGCTGGGGAGCTGGTATCAAAAATTATGGGAACGAATTCTTGTATATACTTGAGAAGACTTTGCACGAATTGAGAGCTGTGGCAGCCTCCCATTGGCATCTAGAAACCATCAGATTGAAAAACGCATTTCTCGACTATTCATCTCAATTTTTCTCAAAAGTTCCACCCGCGGGCTGATTTGTCTGTAGTAGCGCAAGGCTTTCCAAATCGAGCAGGTGTGTCCTGGTCAAATTCCGCTTTGTGATTGGTCGATTTCCAGTCTTCGAAGCAATGGGAATCGCAATATGTATGAATTCGATCTCGGACTGGAGGACGCAGTACTTCGGCTCATGAACTTCAATCTGAAAGTACCCCTTTTGCAGGAGAGAGAGAGTAAAATAATCCGAAATCAAAATGGATGAGAACCAGCCGAAAATACATGTCTGCCTCGTCAACTCGGACTCGTTCTGTGCTCGGCTTTCTCAGCTGGAACTGTTATTGGCCTTCTGCATCAGACGCCTTGTTTTTCGTTTTCTTTTTCTTTGTCTTCTCTCTATCCTTGAGCCCTATGCAGTATCCTGTCGAAGATATCGAAAGAGCAAATGAGCACGACCCAGCGTCTGGAAAATTTTCATAAATATCAGCGTGACGGATTTCCTTTTTCGGGAGGAGTTTCCGACTGCGGACCGCTTGAGTTTACACTGGTCTGTTTTGCCTGTGACGCTCCGGCGAGCTAAAAGCCTGGACACGAGGGATGAGTTGGATATTCCAACATACTCAATAGAGACCTGGAAAATGGACGGGAAGTCGAAGGTGCTGCTCGTCGGCGCCGGCGGGGTCGGAATCCTTGCAGCACTGGCTCTTGAATCCGGCGGAAAGGCAAATGTGACCGCGGTGCTTAGATCAAACTACGATGTCGTAGAGAAGAGCGGCTTCGAAATCGATTCAATCGAGCACGGGTCAGATATCAAGGGGTTTCGGCCTTCCAAAAGTACGGCCTTTGCTAATGCGGACCGCGGGGGATGCCGTGCTCACATAACATGACAGTCACCAAAACGGTCCCGGACGTGGCGAGCGAAGCCTCGCCGTTCGACTACGTCGTCGTCACGACGAAAAATATTCCCGAAGTTGCGCCAACTGTTGCCGATATCATCGCGCCAGCCGTCACCCCTGGCCACACGGGCATCTTGCTGTTGCAAAACGGACTCAACATCGAGAGGCCGTTGGTCGAGAGATTTCCCACGAACCCGATCCTGTCCGGTATCTCGCTCGTGGGCTCTACGGAGTACGAGAAAGGCAAAATCAAGCAGGATGACAAGGACGTCTTGAAGATCGGGCCATTCGACAGCCCGCACGTGCCAAAAGACGTAGCCACCACGTCGGCGAAACGATTCGTCGAGCTATACAGCGCATGCGGCAAGGTTGATTGCACATACGACGACGACGTCACCGCCTCGCGCTGGCGGAAGCTGGTGTACAACTCCACGTTCAATTCCGTCGGCGCGATTCTGGGCATGGACACGAGCCGGATGCGCATGTACGAGCATGTGATCGACGACCTCGTCAAACCTGCTATGATCGAGATCAAGGCTGTGGCTTCCGCCTCTGGCGTTCAGCTCCCGGACGACATAGTCGATTCCATGATCAAAGTGGATCCGCCCCACGCTTTCTTCAAGCCCAGCATGGCCCAGGATGCAGAGAAGGGGAACTTCATGGAGATTGAAACGATCGTGGGGGAGCCAGTCAGGGAGGCATCGAGGCTGGGAGTGCCAGTTCCCACGCTCACGGTGATTTACGGGATTTTGAAAGGCTTGCAGGCAAAAGTCAAGGAGGAGCGTGGGCTGATCGCACCGAAGTTTGCGGATGGCAGCCGTTATGTCTAATACAACCACAAGATATCCTAGAGGGAATATAGATTCTGAAACTCGAACGCCATAATCTTGATAGGACTGAGGGAAAGAAGCTTCGCGGATCGAGTGAAGCGAAGTATTCACGTCAATGAAAACCGTAATATCCCAAGCTTGTCTCTTACAAGTTGATTGCCCTCAACCAGTCGGCTATACCTGCGTCAAGTCGACCGATTTCTTCTTGCACTATGTCCCGCGTCTCGGACTGGGAATGCTTGTATAGCCACGCCAAACGTCCCAGATCTCCGTGGATCACCAAGCACCAGCGGTTCGGCTCGACCTTTCCAAGTCGAAGAATGACCGACCATCCTAAGGAATGCTTGAGCTCCGCCTGCTCTAGGATCCAGCCGGAAGCTCCAGGCCATCTCAAACACATGGAGTCTAGATCCTCGATCATTCTTCTCTTCGTTTCAAGTAAACAACTATCCAAATCTGATTTCGCGCTTGTGCACGCGCAACCATTTTCACACGAGGTGCATTCGTACCCATGGGCCTCCACCCAGTCAGAGCATTCCGGAGGGCTTATGTACGACCTTCCTGCTGCACGTAGAAACGCATTGATTACCCACATCCACTTTTGAATCTGCTCTTTGACCGATGCATCGTCTTTAGAGCTCTTGGAAGTCTCCACGTAGTCTTGAAAATGCCCGTGCAGATGCGGCATGAACGGCCAGAATCTGCCTGTCTCACGAATATCTGCCACGCTGCGAAAGATGTAGAGGACTTGGGGATTGATCTGGCTTGCAAAGACAGGCTGCGTTTCTAGGCGAATCTGCCGACAAATTTGGAACATTTTTCGACACAAATTCCACACGCGGTGGTTAAATTCGAAGTGTTGATCCGGATCGGAAACGCGGCTGACGATAGTGTGCGTGGATCTCTTTCGTCCTTCTACCGTCACGTTATCAACTCTCACTGTGAAGCATAGGTTGCGCTTGAGATCTTTGCAATAGCTGTAAAAGAAAAGCTGGTAGATTATATTCCGAATTTCGGGTGGCAGTGATAGGAACGGAAAAAATGTTGAATCGCGCTGCAGCCCAGCGCGTGTATGAATTTGGCAGCGCATATTTTGCGAGGTGCTGTAGTCTTCCTTCTCATTCGTGTCATCATACTGCTTTCTGATCAGTACATACAAATCAGTCCAAAATCTGCCAGTCATACGTTTCTGAAGTTTGCTCTTGAAAGCTCTGCCCTTTGCTTGCGGGAGGGGAAGGATCTCGTAGAACCGTTTCTGGACATTTTTTGTTAGAGCCACCTTGTTACATCGCGTCGCTCTGATGGAGCTTATATGGCATGATTTTTTGTGATTTTATAGAGTGAAAAAAACGACAGCATGACGTGCGCGGACTCGTGGCTTGTCATTCATCGCGCCCGAATCTTCGAATGCCACACACATACCTTGGAACATTCATTGAAACACTGAATTAGGGTTGTTGACCCATAACTTTCTCCACACATCGTCCTTCTTGACCCACGTTCTTAGCTTCGCAATGTGCGCCTCGTTGGCAACATGCCGAAATGGCTCCACGTCGTTGAGGATTTCCTCCGGTGTCTTGTGTCTGCGGTAGGACGAAAACTGAGTGTGCGGCCAATCACTTGCATACATGATCCTGTCTGGTCCAGCTTTGATGATGGCCTCGGCGACAGGTGCGAGGCTGTCAACACCGTCGGGATGAGCACCATATAACCTTTCAAAGGCCGCAAGTTTGACGTAGACCCGCTCTGAGACGAGGTCCAAGAAGGATTTAAACTCCGGCTTGTCCTCGTCCCCTGGACGTGCTGCGCCAAAATGGTCGGCGACGACCTTGATCCGCGGGTCGAGTCTGGAGAAAAACTCGGCCATGCCAGCCCACGTCGACAATGGCATGAAGAGATCCAGAACCCATCCCAGTCGCCCAAGTCGTGGAGCAATGGACTCGATAGACTTGGAAACACTGTCTGGAGAGATGTCCGCCTGGCCAGTCATAAGATGCATCCTCGTGCCCCGGACGCCGGCTGCATGGAGCCTGTCAAGATCGTCGTCCGTCAAACGCTCGAAATCGAGTGTCGCAAGTCCACGCAGCGTCTGTCCCTGAATATGTCCTTTGTGACCGAGAGCGTCTACAAGTGGAGCAGGCGAAGATCCCTGCATAGAAGCATGCACGATGACCAAGTTCGTACAACCTGTGGAACGGTGTGGATACTGATCTAAAGATGCTGGAGCGGGAGTGTATCGCCGATTCGACGCATAGGGCCATTTTTGAGGGTCAAACACGTGAATATGCGTGTCCCAAGCTCCTTCTGGGATGTCAGGATGATTCCTAACTTCCATGCTGCACGAGAACTTGCGTGTTCCGGCTCTAGTCTTAAAGAGACTGACGAGCGGCCGTCGTGTTAAGTACCGAATCATTCGTGCCGTCATGATGGCAACGTCTAATTATTGACGAAGAAAAAAAACCTCCTTAATCAAGGGCAAGATTTGTATTTCTCTAATATAAAGTATGAACTGACGTGGAACTGAGCGAAGGAAAAGCATATGAATACGCATTGTGGTCGCTTGTCACTTCTCAAAAGAGAGTATGCGAGGTCGGGTATTCCGATGGCTGCTTGCGCGATCATCATCGGTTAGGATGCAGATCCAAGAGGACATATCGCGACATTTTTGTTCTAATAGACCAGAATTCAAAGTTATCGAGGAAAGCTGATGGGCCGAAATAGAATCAAATGACTGCAAATCGCGAAGCGCTTCGCGAACTCGCATTCAATTACAGTGGAGTTGAGTGTTGTGAACAAAGGCGAAGATGGTGCGATTTGAGAAATTCCAGAAGAGCAAACTTCATTTTTTTTATCAAGCCCTTCCTTTTTTCTCATATCTTCTACTGACATCGCATCACACATTCACGCTTGGCATTCTTTTTGAACGAAAAAGCGCCTAAGGGATGACGATGTCCTTTCACCAGCTCCTCTCCACTTCATCTGCAGAGCATGCATGCAATATCTGGCGCACACGTAAAACATATATACACGTAGAGGGCGTCGACGTAGGCTTTCTGCCCTTGATATCCAGCCATTCCTTCCCTTTTCCTTTTGTCTTCATCTTTGAAGATCGAGAAATGTGACATCGTTATAAGGATTTTGATTTTGCCAATTGGTGAAATGAAGTGCACATAGCAACGGCGCGCAGTAAAACAAACAATGCTGCAAATCCCGGCCTCGCTGTGAAGCAAATCAAGTGTTCGCGAAACACTCCCAAACGCCATGCTTGTGACAAAAGGGCATTCGTAGTGAACGACGATGGGACGAGGAAGATGTATGACGACAAAAAGAAAAAATAATGACACGATAAGTTCGGTGGTATGCGACGCAAGCGCGCCGCCATGAGCACCAGTTCTCAAGTCGAAGAAACTCAGAAGCCTCATGTAGCTCCGGGGAGATCGTTTTGGCCTCAGCTTTTGTCAATCTAGAAGGGGCTAAAGCCAGGCGGTCCTCGACCTCGACCCTGTTGCTGCTGCAGAAAGAAATCAGGTGGGGGGACTCCTGGAGGCACAACTCCAGGAGGTGGGCCCACAAACCCAGGAGGTGGAGGTCCAAAATATCCGTGATGAGGTGCTCCTGGAGGTGGACCAGGCGGACCCATATTCCCGAAAATACCAGGAGGAGCGGTCATGCCGCGCATTCCGGGATGCGGCTGTTGGTTTGGTGGAAGCGGACCGTTGGGGCTCTGGAGGTGAGGAGGTGGAGGCTGGAAACCTGGAGGTGGTCGAGGAGGCATTGAAAACCCAGGAGGTGGACCCATTCCCGCACGTTGCGTGTTGTTAGGATTTGATGGATCTTGCTGTAGAGCCATACTACGAAACTGATCAGCAGGAGCAGGATGGGTCGGGATGCCCATATTCGAGACTGGGAGTCGGGGTGGTCCGCCTTGTTGCTGCTCGGACGCAGTGTTGCGACGAACAAGACCCGGCATGCTCAAGATCGCAGGGTCGTGTGGTTCATCAAAGAAGGGTCCGGTTGGTTGTCGGCCAGCATTACCTCGCGTAGGTGGCCCATACATATCGTGCAAGCCTGGGGGCGCGGAGGGGGGTCCTTTTCCTGCCACAGGGGCCAACTGAGCTTGCTTCAAGAAATCGACGTTCATGGCCTGCTGTGGCGAGGCAAGCTGCTTGTTATTACCATTGCGATTACCTTCGATGAGTTTGAGCAGGAAGTCTCGCTTCTGATCAGTCGGCGTCTCTGGGCGTCCTTGCTGTGACCTTCCGCCGCTGGCTGGCGAGAACAAAGGATGACCAGGGCGAGGTGTGACATTTTCATCGCGTCCTCCACCGTTTACACCACCGGGACCTGGGAAATACTGACCCACCCCTTCAGCTTCAGCAGGCGCGGTCTGAGGGCCACGAGACCGATTAGCTGTATGTCTCGCGAGAAGTTCATTCACCAAACTGGCACTGTCGGGCCTTGCTGTACGCGGAGCATGCTCCCCTCCTGCATTCATGCCACCTGTGAAGAGAGCATTGGTCATGTTCGTTCCGTCTCCAGCAGGCGCCTGGGGCTGAGGGCTGTTCAGCTTTGCACCACCCAACATCTGCAGGATGCGCTGGAAGCCCTCTGCGTCTTCTTTGCTGGTTGTCCCATTCGGAGGTGAGGTTGTCTGCGATTGTGAAATTTGCTGTCCATACTGGGTCCCCTGGTGCCCATCCGAGGACGTGGCTGGTGCAGGAGGTGGAGTCTCGTCCTTTTGGAAGAAAGCCCCGAATTTTGATGTCTTCCCTAATCCCTTCAGCGGGGCAATTTTCTCCGTAGTTGCTCCTCCATGGTTGGCATTCAAAGGCTCTGGCGATTTCGATTCTGCGGAGGCAATCTTCTTTGAGCCAAACGTGCCAAATCCGCTGAAATCGAGCACAGGTTTTGCTGGTTCAACAGGTTTCGTGTCCTTCGAGAACAAAGGAACACCCAAATCCTCCTTTTCTGGAGGCGGCGCCGCAGACTTAGCACGTTGCTCTGCCTTCCATCTTTCAAAGTCTTCTTGCGTCTTTTCATTCTCCTTAACCACTTTCGTGCTCGAAGTAGCACTAGCAACTGGCTCACTCATCCATTCCGGCTCTTCATCCAGTTTGTCCTGCACTTTATGCCCGCGTGTCCACTCCCTGTCTCTGTCCCGTTCGCGATCCCGATCCCGTTCACGCCAACGATTACTTCGTGACCCATCTCCTTCAGATTGCTCGTCGCGCCAGGCACCCATTCTGCCCCCGCGTCCAAAGCCATTGCGCCGCGGCTGCTCATCGCCGGTCCCGTCGAGGCCATCTCGATTACGGTTGCGTTCCCGATCAGCGCCTGCGCGCCAGCGCTCAGCGCCTTCCTCGTTGTGTGAACCTCTCCTTCTATTCACGGTTGACCAGCCCTCACCATCCGCATTGTCCCGATTCGAATTGCGTCCACCAAGCCGATTGTTTCTTTCTCTCGGTGGCCGATCCTCGTCCTGGTCACGTCGGTTGCGGTGGTTGTACGAACGTTCGGAATCGTCACCGAAGGTGGATGAGTTGTATCGGTCCGCTCCGCCTTTGTCATTGCCATCACCAGTTCTGTGTTGATTACGACTCGAGGATCCGAATTTGGTACCAGGAGGCCCAAGAAAGACTTCTTCTGCGATATTATATCAGTACGGCCGACTACGAGAGGAAAAAAACGGCCCCCGACGCGAACAGGATGCGGATGGAATCACATACGAGAATTTGTGCGTGCAGAATGTCGAGTTGGGAACATGGGCCGCGAGCCATTTGCATCGCCGTCGTGACCATGCTCTTCTCCGCGATTGTTCTGCTGCTTTCGACGTTGTTGCGCGTTTTGGTCGGCCGCGACTCTATTACGAAATTGTATTAGCCCATTCGTTCAGCAACTAGCTTTCAATGAAAAGTGCTCACTCCGTCCATTGCTCCAGAGAGGGTAGGCCTGGGGGCTTAATACATAGTGGTGACGCCCTTAACCGGTGCAACTCTTCGTATGTGTAGCGTATGTAAGGCATTGTATAGCCCACGGCGAAGCTGCTCGTGGAGATTAGGGTTGAATCTTTGAAGGCTGCGACGATACTGGAAATGATTGCTGGCTGAAACTACGAAGCTGAATAGGGGATGAGATAATGAAGACGACTGTATGTAACTGTGCAAAGGCAATACGACGTAGATCGGACGCGCAACGAAGATCGTATTTTGGCAGAGGTTGGCACTGCAGCTGCGGTTGTAGAGAAGGTTGTTGACAGCCGAATCAAGTCAGTGACAGCAGGAAAAGCCAGGCACTTCAACGCAGTGCAGCTCGGACCAAGCCGTTTCGTTTCTTGTTGCGTTTCTGAACAGGAGCGCTGAGGGGGTGTTGGAGGGGAGTTTAGGCAGGTGTAGGCGAAGTCGGGGGAACCGCGAAAAGCGCAGCGAGAGCGACACTGGGCTTAGTTGGTGTATGTGGCAAGGAGCTTGCGATTCGGCCGGTAGAGAGTGGGACAGGCCTCTTTTTAGAGGTTAATTTATGATGTACTGGTGCTGCAGCGGCTGCAAGCTCTGCGCAGAGGCGAGGACTTATCTCAGCAGGCTCAGACGCTTCGCTGGGGCGTTTTTGTGGCTGACGCTAAACTATTTTGAACTTCTGCCAAGTCCTCTAAATTCCTGGACCAATCACAGCGCGCCAAACCCTAAAACCCCTTCAGCGAAGCGTCTGAGTGCAAATGGTCGCAGTTTGTTAGTACTCGCAACTTCAAAAAA